CAACTTTACAACTTCACAACTTCAACATTTCTACAACTTCAAATTTAAGCTTGCCCGAATGAGGCAGTTGTTTTGTGACTGAGAATGGCCGACGTTGGGGATATCATTGGTCCGGTTATCATTCACATCGTGTTTCTCATCACCTGGCACCTGCAGGGAGACAGAGACAGGCAGGCAGACTGAGTGCATCTACAGTCGCATCGTAGGTCCAAGTTGACAGCTACTACTTTCCGAACTTATTCAAATCTGACTATGCCACATGCGTCCCGGAAGCCATATTCAGTATTAAGTCCGGAGGACGGTCGAGAAAGAGGTGCGAGAGGCGAAGTCCGACTTCTTTTTCAGTCTATTGTCATGAATTAGACTACGAATTCGACTACGGAGATATAGGCAGCTCTAGGCGCTTTAAGTATGAAGCCACCATCTTGACTTATCGATCTACCTTTTTTTTCTCTTTTTTTCTCTTTCTTAATAGCCAACCCCCTTCGTCATCTTACATGTAGCCCCAGCATGATCCGCCACTCTATAATTAGAGGGACCGACCAAGACCATTTAGTGGCTTCGGCTTTCCGAACAGGGGATAATTAGCATTGCAACGCTTTATTATTTTGGCTATAGTGGTAGCCTCTATAGCGGACAGAAGTGCTATATTCGGTTATCGTAAGTCAAATCTAAAGCGAGATGTCGCTCTCCAAGTGGGTTATGCCTAGGAATAACTACAAGAATAGCATATTAACTTATTAACTGCTTTGATAATATAAGCTGAAGGTTTGCCTTTTCAGACTCTAGTCCTGACTATCACAACTATCTTCATTCCGTTACAGTCTTGACTCCTCATACCTAGGTACCTACCTAGGAGTTGGTATGGAGCTGTAATGCAGCAGCGCAGGTAAGCAAAATCGTGCCTACATACTAGTATTGTGATTGATTAAACCTCGACGAAGGCGGGGTTTCACGCCGTCCAATAATCTCAACTATTCACCCTTAATGGTTGATTAGTCTTACTCATCTATTTATTCTTAAATGCTGTTCGAAGACTGCCCAATTGCGAGATTCCAATGTTTCAGGGGGTTGGTGAACTGAGTAAGCTAATCGTTTAGCTCTTTAGACTATTCAGCTGGCCCAGCATATTCGAACTCGACTGGACTGGACTGTTGGAGGCGTACGCTGTATTGTACATAGTACCGATTATCTCGCTACCTAGTAGGTAATAAGTATGTGGTAGTATGTCACCACCGCCTCTCCTCACCTCACTCTTGCAGATGGCACTACATATTACTGGTTCCCGTCGTCAGACGGTTATTGCCCACGTGTTTGATGCGCGCCGGAACGAGACCCCTTGATGTATGTAAGACGCGTATTCGAGGTATCTGTACTCGGTCTGTCGGCGTCTCTCATCATCAAATCCCGCGGCTAAAAACGTCAGACCTCTATTGCATCTTTCGGGACCTAAATATATCACTAGAGGATTTAAAGTCGGTTGATGTACACGTGAGTTTAGTCATAGGATTTACGTATTTGCCTGGGTAACTATCTTACTACATTTAAGATGCTTAATCTTAACGATTCATGATAATGAATCACTTCGTTATTTTCTGCCTAGTGCCTCACCATGCGAGACTTCGCACGTACACTAACGTGCGTTGCCTTCCGCCAATATCAAAGTTAAGATTCTTCCATTCCCCTCTCCTAGCATTACCAGATACGGGAGCCTGTGCATGAGCCACATCCGTTCCCATCTCTTACTCGCCCTAGGTTCCAAGGGTCCTAAGGAACGGAGATACGCGAGAAAAAAAAGAGAACTATGTTTCTCACCATTGGCAGGAATGCGGACCATTGATGTCTTGCGGACGAACTTGTGTTTCATACATCCTCAGAGTTCGTGAGATCGAGCCAGGTTCCCGGTAAAGGGGGGTTTCTTGTTTGTATCGTATCGCATTGGATACCACTACAGCACATGTAATACATCTAATAGTATCCAAGCATAGCCCTGCGGCATGAACATTCTTGAATGAGAGTTCTCCATTCCCCATTCCTTCCAGAAGGTCTTGACTCTTGACTCTTCCTAATGCTGACCCGCTTCATCCGGGATCTTACTTTTCGTTTCTCGCATTCATTTGCCCTATTAGACCCAACATTGAATCATTTAGGGCAGACCGGATTGTTTGTATGTACTGTACCACTGTACCTTGGGAGAAACCCCCCTGCTGGAGTTTTATTTTCATCCGCGAAAGAAAGGATTCCTGCGGCTGATGAAAGGGACCAAACCAACTGCAGGCTTCACACGTGGCAATTTATCTCGTCCGTGCTTTCATTTGACAAGGCAGGGAACCTGGAGCAAGCCACGTGTTGGCCAATTGAAGCCGATTCTCTTTCATTAATGATGTTACATAAGACCTAGTAATCGGTGAAGCACTTCCGAATACCCTGATCTCTCTGGCTGGTGATATAGACAGTTCGGACGACAATATAGATAATAATGCTTTCCAAGCAAGGTTGTCCTACCGATAAATCTAAAGGGTTCTCGTTTTTATGCCGCCTACTACCGTAAATACATACCTCCTTGCATATTTATTATTCCGAACATAAATTAAATACTACTTAGTACCAACTAACATACACATCGAACCTCGTCTTCGTCATAATTCTTTCATAGTAAAAACTCGTCTTCTTAATAGTCGGTCAGTCTCGTCTCGCGTTCCACGGCAGTTTGTCTTGCATCCGCGATGCGGGTGGTATATCGGGACGATCGTAATTTCGACATCGGGATCGTCGAGTGGATATATATAAAGCAAGCAACCTAAACCCGGTCTCGATAGGAAACGTTCGATAATAGGTATCGTGAGTTCCGTATACAGTGTGCGAAGCCTTACATACCTGCCTCTAGGGTCATCTTCTAGAACAACAGCCAAGAGCAAACAAAGGTGGTCGACGATATGGTGGAAACGTGGATACAAGTGATGACGAGGTGACGTTTTTTTCTTACAATTTTTTTTTCACCACTCTCCACTAGATCTCTACCTAGGTCTTCTATTGTAACACCCGACTCGACGGACGACCTCCCCTTGCATGACAGCCTCGTATTTCCGCACCGTAGAGCCATCGCCAACGACGACGTCTCCATGCGCGGATTACCTAGGACCATCGCGCGTTGTTGCGCTTTCTAGTCTAGCCTCGTTGCTCCTCCATCTCTCTGACGCGTCCCACTCGTGTCCCCTCTTTCAATCGACGAGCGGCATGCCTTGCGGCGCTCGCTTCCGCGCCCCGCTTCTCACCGCCATATACGACAAGACATCGCCATCTCTACGCGAAACAGCTTTACCATTAGGCGCGACAGCGTCTCTAGATAAAGCGCTAGTATACTCTTAGTCATCAGGGGCTTCTAAGCGGATTCTAGAAGCGATGTTCCTCGCCTACACGTCACCTATAGGTTTCGGCGCATTGCCTATAGCAGAGGGAAGAGATGTGCATGGTTTCTCGCTATGCGCTCCTCTACCTATGTCTAGCAGGTTGTCATTGGTTGATAGCTCTTTCGGAAGACATGCGCGAGAGTGCGATCTCGATCTCGTGATCATGCTTCAACTTGCGGTCAGGAATTGATCGCATTAGGTACAGCTATAGTTGTGCGCTGTCGTCCAACGAGCTTATAGCATACTGCAGAATTCCGATATAGCGGCGACGTGAATGTCGACATTCCGGGCTCCGAGAACGAAGCCGTCTGGCTCATTGTTGGTAACTATATGTATGGCTTGAGAATGGCTAGGTAGGTAGGTAGGTAAGTATAGGTACTAGGTGAGTATGTGGGTATTTCTTCTACGGCATGCATACACGGCAGAGTATAGCTTTTTTGAGGATGTTTTAGACAGCTCACGCTGCAATGTGTGGAAGAAGCTTCACCGCAATTGCATTTTCTACCAATCATCTAGCTAGCAAAAGCCTATACCCCTGAAATCGGTTGGTATACTCAACAACTCATTGCATTACGAATCTTTCTACTACCTACTCCAAGTTTGAATATGCGTTAGGTCGACCCTTAATATATCGCGAGTTTCAACACACTGTTATATGTATAACCGGGCATTTTAAGACTAGTGACAGTTCATGTTGCATTCGTATCATGTCTTTGATTCAAAACTCACATGTCTTGCTCTGAAACTTGTCGTTTTTCTACCTATACACTAGCCCTAAGCCCTGAACATTTCAGATCACAAACTCCATTAAGATCAGAAAGGGCACAAGTTAACGAATAGTGTGTGACATTAGTTGTCGAATAATCTGACACTAACTACCTCCTATATACCTAGTAGGTGGTAAGGTCAACGCTCGCAGCGTAAAAATACCTGCAACCCCAAGTTTCCCACCTATCCTACAGGATATTCCAACGGAACATCCCCCAAAACTTCTCAAGTCATGTCGACTTAGTTTCAATACCTATCTACCAAACACCAAGACCTCAAAACCGAGCCCACTAATCGGCTCTCGCGGAAAAGAAACGCCATCCTCCCCGGTTTCCACTCAGGAACAACCCATCCCATCCATATTCCTCCCAAAAAAAAAAAAAATCCGTACAAGGCACTAATATAAATAAATAAAAAGCCAAAGGGGGTATATGCAAAGTAATATATCGATCGTCCCATGCCAACCGTAACATCATTAATTTCAAGTGTCAGCCCATCCACACGTAGAATATACGAATATTTTTGTTTTCGAAAGAGAGGGAAGAAAATAGAAGAGAGACGATATGGCGCACGATGTAGGTACTAGGTAGGTTGGTAGGTTGGTACCTAGGTAGGTATTATCACGACCCTATGCTTTGGCACAGTTAGCTTCCTATTTCGGCATTGGTGCGCCATGAGGTACCTACCGAAAACAACCCAAGCGCCATTCTTCCTACGTAAGAAACCCGCGTGGGGGGTTCGAAATGCTTTCTCGTTTTTTGGTCAAAGTTTTTTTTTTGCGGGCGCATGGGTTTTTTGGTGATCGTCGTTGTGCAGGTGACCCTAGTAGACGCCTGCTCTGCTAGGAGGGAGAGGCGGCGTCTCGTTCCCGGGAGTCACAGAGCTGAACGGCGTCAGCTTGCGGTCCGAGTTCTTTCGGAGCGAGAGCTGGAATCGCAGCGGTCCCTTCTTCTCCCAGCTGGACACGCTAGCTGTGTCGCCGGGTTGGACTGTCCTGATCGTGTTAGGGTCCAGATGGGACTGGGGGAATATCCCCCACGCCTTGGACGTGGTTCCTGACCAGCACCAGTGGTCGGTATAGGCCCCTAGAAAAAAACATGTGAGCTTCTTGTCTGTAACACTAGGGCGCGGTATGGATAGGTACCTAAGTAGGTGAAGGAATAACTTACAGGCAATGTTTTTGATCACGTCTCCCTTGTCAAATTTCAGCCATCTATCATCGCCCTTCTGATTCCACTTCCATCGCGCCATGGCCTGGACGTTACTCGTATTCTGCATCTTGATCTCGTGTTTGGCCGGGGAGTCGATCTGCACAGAGTCGATTTCGAATGCGGCGCGCACTCCGTCGTGCCAGCCAATACCCCATTTACCTTCGTATTTCGCGGGGAATTCGATGCCGATTATCTTGGCTCCTATGGCGTAGTGTAGCACCGGGTCTCTGCCAGGGGGTGAGCGCATGACGCCATTTTGTATCTTTCTCGTCTCCGTCGCAACGGCCGATGGTAGTCTGGAGAGTTCCCGCGAGAGGCCCGTCATGACGGACTGCATCGGCGCATGTGGGAAGTGGAGGTCAAAGTTGTCCTTGAAAGCCACTGGTATTTCCGCGCCTTCAACTACAGTAACGCCGGAGATGGGGGGGAGTGGACGGGGATGGCGGGCCATGTGGGCAAATAATTGGCTCTGGTTGAAGAAGACTGTAGCGTCACTTTCTTCGACAGTCTTTCCTTGTTGGATACAGAACAAGCATCCATATAATTGCTCCTCAACATGTCTAATTTGCAAATGACTCTTTTGGAGTATACGTAGTCGAAACCCAATGGAGTTAGAAGTAAAACTACCAGATGCTAGATAATGTGTGAGATTCAAATAAGGCGTACATAGATGAAAGGGATTTTCTTACAGTCATTGTTAAGATCCTGCTCGACTGACTTGAAGTCGATTTCAAATAAACAATGGTTGCACTTTGCTACGACCGCCATGGAGAAACCCTGTATCTGTTAATAACTTAGAGTCGATACGATATTCATAGATGTGATAGTATAGGTAGGTATATAGGGACACATTGACTTACACCAACGGGTCGCTTGATTTTCTTGAATCCAAGTCGGCCTGCCATTACTTCTTCCGCCCCTTTGCAGAACCCCTTAAGTTTATAGAAAGAGCTGTGAGGTCCTATACTGCAGTCAGGTATTCTCGAAGGTACCATTTGACCATCCGATCTGGGACTTTCCATGTCGACGGGAATCAAGCCCTCGTCCATACTCGTTGGTAGTTGACTTGTGATTATACTAGGACGGGCTGTTAAAGTAGACGAAGAATGATTGGTAATCGTTCCCACGCCGGAAGATATGCTAGGGTTCGTCAGTGTACGCTGATACACAGGTGGATGTCCCATATACTCAGGAGGTTGTGCTCCCGGGCTAAGAGGTTCCACCGACATAATGGAACTTCTATGTGTTGCCACTGGAGGGGCTGCAGGAGCACCAGGGGCCGTAGGGCTCATACATTCCACAATATCAAAAACGGAACTATTAATTGATTCAGTTGATGGATGACGAGTTGAACGACGACTGCCCCCGGGCCTCGCCAAGGAATGCCCTCTAGGGGGAAAGTTAGGGATAGGAGGGAGACTGCCTTTAGGGGCTTGTGTAGAATGAACGGCGCTATTCTCGGGGATAGACTGTCCGAGAATAGAAGATGTGTCAGAAGGTGAGCGACTAGATGTGGGATCGGGAAGTTGGCCCGGCCACCCGGAGCCTTCGTTAGCAGGAGAGCGGTTCGCAGATGAAAATCCGCTATATGATTTATGGGTCGAGCCCTGCGTCGAGTTAGTCCAACGTTTGCTCTTCCTAGGCGACCGTGACCCATCACTAGCCGTCCCCAGGCTACGCGAAGCCGCGCGCATTCGTCGGTCCTCGTCGTCTCTCTGGGACAGGTTGGAGGGGTCTTCGGTCCTGCGGCGAAGTCGTAAGGGGCTCGAAAGGCTTCCGTGAGGACTAACCGGTTGTGCGTGGGGAATAGTCGGGGAGTCATTCGGAACTGGAGGACGACGCTCCCATCGGTCTCCTTCCCCTGATGGTTGCTCTACCGGACTGACAGGCGGGGCCGAGCCGACTTGCCATGGGTCGGTAGAGGGAGGTCTTGGCGGAGGGTCCGAGGTGACATCGGAAACTACAGAGCGGTGCGAATTGCTTCGGTCGAGGTCGCTGACTGATCGTGGAGGTAGGTCCGCATCTAGACCTTCGTCGGGTCCGGCCACCGCTCCCATCATACTGCTCAGCTGCAGCTCTGTCTCTTCCATCAGTTTTTCTGTCGAATTGGACGCCGGAGGGTCGATGACAATACTTGTTGGGATTTGTTCATAATGAGAGTTGACATCAGGGACGACTGATGCACCCCCTGATGATGACCTCGCTGACGTTGGCGCAGGGGCAACTAGCTTCATCCGCTTAAGGATATCCACGACCTTCGGCGCGGCTTTTCTCGAAGCCTTCTGTAATTCCTCGAACTTGTTGGCATCGAACTCGTCAGGTTCGACATAATCGTCAAAATCCCATAATAAGTCTTCTAGTTCGGATCGGTATTGCGCGATTTCGTCTAATGCATAGGTATGAAATGGTCAACTTGCAACTCTTGATTGTCCGCAGGATCACGGCTTACGGTACCGGGCGCAATAGAGTCATGAATGGGAGCCTTACCGTTTTCCTTAATCGCGTCAACAAAGTTCACACCATATTCTTCGAAGTTCTTAGTGCATAGCGGCTCTATCCGCTTCAGTGCCCGCTCTCCTTCTCTTAATAGGTTCTGGGCTGCCCTAAGCATAAGCGGCGACGTTTCTTCGTCGGCATTTGGCGCATTCCCGATCGCTACATTGCCCTTCTCCACGATCTCTCTAAAAGGCGCAATCGCGAGTCGCTCGACTTCGTCCGCCATGGCGACTCATAAGTTAGGTAGGTATAAATAATTGTTAAAAATCGCCTAACATTCACTGCGATGTCTAGGTATTTGTCCGTCGAGGCCGGTAACTTAAGAGAGTCGAGAGGCTCTTTAGTCTGACACCTAGGATTGAGGGATTGAGTGGAGCTGAGAACCAGTCAGGATGGAAGTTCTCGCGGCTCAGCCCTCTCGGAGGTTTTATGTCGAGGTTTCGTAGCAACGATGGCGGATGCAGCAATGCATAGTTCAAGTTAGGCCAAATTGAAAGTTAAGGAAGAAGAGAAACAGACGAAAGAGGAATATGAGAACGGAAATTCGACCCCACGGCACGGAAAGGCTGAACTAGATAGAGTCTACGCCAGTAGGAATGGTAACCCGAGTTCGCTACAGCGTGCATCGATAGCTTACATACTACGCATACTACGCATACTACATAGCAGCATAGTACGTTCCCCCCCCGGGGCATAACGGAACGGCCAAGGGTTCGACGAGGGTCAAGAGTGGCGTCTTTTGGGCCAATGCAGAACACAGTAGGTCCTGATCCTGGCTTGCGTGGACTCTCAGGGTATCTGGTACCCTCTGTACTCCATACAACTCCATACCCGCGTTAGCTATCGAAGTCTAGCGTCATTGGGTCTGTCAAGGCTTTGATTGGTTCCGCCGCTTACGGTGTCGACACCGACAGGGGCAATGCACACGTTCCACTGGCGGGCGCCTTAGCGCTTCCCTATCTCCAGTACCCACGGCGAGGGATTCCTAGTATATTTTCTACCTGCGAATCTGATGTCTTAGATGGCCCCTGCAACGATCACTATCACAATTAAACTCTCTTTTCCCGGCTTGACTGCGACGGAATACGACGAATGGAATAGCATAGTTGGATAGGAGACCTTGATATCCAGATTGGTAGGTCCGTCGAGTTTAATGACACTTTTCTTTTCAAGAAAAGGCAAAAGGGACAAAAAAGGGGGCTTTCGCTTCAACGGGCAGACATAGGCAGACTTGGGTACTAGGCTGCTAGGTGGTTAGGCACAAGACTACTATAGAAAGACGCTATATTCAGCCGATGGGGCGGTGCTATATGGAACTACGACATAGTAATAATACAATGTCCACCTTGCATACTAGGTAGATAGTGCTATGCCTACACCTAAGCTTCTAATAAGTCGAAATCGCTCAATCTGTCAACCTAGCAGGTAGTGTAATTGCGATTGATCTTCAGGTTGACAGTGTCACCTACTCCATATGTACACATCTCCTATTAGTAACACGACCGTTTCTTCGGGTTGGGGTAAAGAGCGGGATGAACGTCTTTACCTCGGCCGTACTCTCCCGTAGCATAACAAGGGTTTGTTAAGTTGTTTTTGTTTTTTTTGAGATGAGATCCCAGAAGGGTAAGATCCAAATAGTCGAGGTTCGGTTTGTCGACTGATGCACAGCCGATTCCGGCAGGCTGGAAATGAGTTTCGTGTCCTGTATATTCCGCGTATAGGTTGTGTATACCTAAGGGTGCATCGAAGGCATTGAAGACAGATTGGCATGATACTATGGCTTGTACGGTTGCTACCTTGGCTATGGTAACTGTACTGTAAGGTAGGGCAGTAAGGGTTCGCGATGGATCTGAGTCAACCCACCATCGGCAAATGCATCTCCACCGAATCCTATAGTATTGGGACGAATCAAAGGTCATCGTTTTCTTCAGGGAGGCTTCGTTGCTGACTGATTTGTTACCATCGTCTCGTTACCTCAAACTCATGGATCCAAAGACTCCCTACATACATGCACTGTAGAGAGATGAGACATGCATAGGGATTGATAAAGACCCGGGCTTTTAATTACTAGAATAATATAAATATACTATGTATAACTAATATACTCCTAATATGCATGTATGTACCATGAATAGCACGCGGGATTCTGTCTACGTCATGCGAGTTGTTGTAATACGTATGAGAGAAAGCCGCAAACAATGGCTCGCTGTTGTGAGACCGCATATTCGGGATTGGCAACCCGACGAGGAGATTGCCATTGTCAGTACTAAGTGACAGTACTCAGTAGGTTGGTACAATACATACCTACCTGAGGACACGTTAAAAAAGAGAAGAAAAAACTTTCCAGTTCTCATTTCCAGTTAGTACAGTAACCTTAGATATCTAACCTAACCACCTGGGCAGTTCAGGCTCTATCCAACCAAAGCCATGTACCTAATCCAACTAGTCGGTGGGATATTCACCCCGGACATGCAGCTAATGTATGCGCCATACCACATACGTGATACCTTAGTCTACACGACAGCTCTTGGCATCAGGGCTGACGGTCCAGGACTCCTGGATAGCTGTACAGTGGACTTTCAGGGTATCCTGCATGGCTCCAGCGCCCTGAAGATTAAAACAAGATGCCAAGACTGGGACAAACCGAGGCCTTTCTTTTCAAGGCAGATTTTATAAAAATTCACTCGCCAACCAGGTCATGATCGCTCAGCTGTAATAGAGCCTCACTTCATACATATATGGAGACCAATTGCCTACCGAAAAGGCGGCTGAAGCTTTGTTTCAGCCGTCATCATTATCATCATCATCATCGCCACCTGTACGGAGTATGCAGGCAGGGAATCAAAAAATACCCAAGAGCTCTGGCAGCCCCATCTCACTTACAGTCTAATCATTCTGTATTCTGTACTAAGTACCGTTTTACCAATCCGAGCAGCCCGAGCAACGCTTCACTACGATAATTAGCAAGCAAATCGAGACCGGCAAACATCGACGGGTCTCCAGAATCCCCACCAAAGCTTTCACTTTCGCAATGTAGTGTACCGCAAATACGCATAGTACGGACAACCCCATCATTTCGGTCCTTTGGGAAATCATTGACGAAATCATTGGCGAGATCCATTGGTGTGCTTTTTGCACAGGCACCTATGTAATCTCGCAACATCGCTCTCATGCATCCATGAGGCTCGATGTACGACGTGAGTTGATCCTTCAATGAGAGAGTTGCGTAGGAATTGCGTAGGCTCTCATTACGATAGGGCAGAATTCGAAAGCAGATGAAACCTTGTCGGTCTTCCAAAGCTCGGCTCGGTTCTTAGGATATTATTTATTATCTCTAGGTACTTTAGGTGGAAGCCCTGGAGACGAATGTTCCCGCATTCCCGTGGACCGAGTGGACGGAATCTCAACCTCCATCTTGGTTTTGAGACAGGACAGTGTAAATACCAGGCTTCTAGGTATTACCCATCCCACCATAATGACGATCCATTGGCCTAGGCAGGTTTGTTCTGCAGACTTGCAACTCAAGCACCTGGCACAGACTGCACAGTACCCAGTACGACCATCCTTTAACGGAGCCATCCGGCTAACATGGTTCCCCACTGATGGCTCCCACGTTAACAGATTGTCTGGGTCTACTGTTCAGGGGTCGTGCAGTCTCACCCTATCGTCTTCACCTTGATAAGTTCACATGTAAATACGGTCAAGGCTCCATGTCCATACATACCAACATCCCACCTATACACCCAGACACCTAACATATACGCTGTAGTGTGTAAATACAGCGTACAATCAACAGTTCCCCCTCCCTCTCTCGTCGATACCACGGTAGCAGTCATGAAACGCTGCTCTAGCTCCCCTTGCATTCTCTAAATCAGATGTGGCGCAGATTTTCGAGACCACTCAGCAAGAATTTAACGTAACATGCACTATACTCACTCTCATTACTATCACAACCTATTATGTGCAGCTTATTATTGAGTTGCTTCCAACGGCATAGTCATATGCTATCGTGTGCTGCTTCGGAGTGGGCCGATAGATCTCGCATCAAGGGTAAGTACGTTCATGAGATAAGAACCCATGAATGTTCGCCAAACGAAAGGGAAGGTCTAAGAGACCGTGGTCGCAACAACTCCAGCCGTATGTACTAGTTCATGAACAACCTAGTAGGTAGGTATATCCATATGGATACTAGCTGACTAGGAAGGTATAAGCTATAAGCAAGCTAAGACAAGAGAGATCTTACAGTGGGTCATCAAGTCTTGCCGCAAGTCTTAGTTGAAGGTAAATAGTGACGCTATTTACTACCAATCAGAAATTATGGGCAGTTGCTGTGTGCTGTGTGCTTAAAACATCTTGGCATGTCGATTCATATTATGTAGGTGATTGACGGCGTCGGATCTAATAGTACTCTAATTACTAAACTCCGACACGTGGGATACATAAGATACATGAGATACATACGATGTAATTGTTCTACTTCGTACGAAAGCAAACCGAGACCACGTGGGAGTTATAGATGGGAATCACCTTGTAACTAGGTAGGTACAACCAAGAGGACCTAACCTTAGAAATTTTCATGGATTACCTAATTTCACTATACGAATACCTAACAGGTAGCTGCAACTACCTTATGTTGTAAAACCAGAAAGCAAACCTACGGCAGTTGCAGTTTCCAGGCTGCCAGTGTCAGAAAGGGAAGGAATCAGCTGTAAAATAAACAAACCACAATCAAAATAAGTCCATAACCCATTTATCATCCGAAATGCCTCCAGCTCCCTACATATACCACTATACCACTTTAACAACGTGCGACATCAACCGCCTCATCTATATTGCCTACAGCATATCTAGGTACCTAGAACCCACCTCTAAAAATAAACTAACCATGATCTAGAACATCCGTTAATATTCCTAACCTAGTGCATAGTAGTAGAACATCACACACAATACAACAAAGTACATTCATGGATACCACAGTAATAATGCCCGACACAACCATCCGTCTTCCCCACAAACCCGATGCCCCGCTGTCCTACCAATTTCGGCCAGGCAAGGGTTGGCTATCCAGCACCCACCTAATCGTCTTCCTCAACGGCCTGATCTTGTTGCAAGACGACTGGCGGCCCACCATCCGCAGCCTCCAGAATCGATGGGCCAAGAGGAACGTTCACAATCACCCCGCGATACTGACCTACGACCGCTACGGACAAGGTGCCTCAGCACGGGACCCATCGGACGCTTCAAACGATGGCACGCACACCATCACCGAAGTCGTCAGCGACCTACACGAGCTCATACTCGAGGTCTGGCGTACAAGAGTCATCTGGGAACAAAGACGGCGTCCGGGCTGGAGGGAGCCGAAGTCAGAGCCGAACCTGATCCTCGTGGGGAATAGTATCGGCTGCGTGATCGCACGGCTGTACACAAGCAAGTATCCCGGCATCGTCGAGGCTCTGCTCTTCCTCGACAGCAACATCGCGAACAGCGATCAGGTCTCCCTCTTCCCAGACCCGGACTCCCCCTCCTTCGACCCGAGAGTCCTCCCCTTCGGCACAACCGTCGATGAACTCCGGCGTGTCCGCGAGGGGTATCGCTCGCTCTTCCACCCCTCCGTGGCGAATCCAGAACACCTCGACCGCAGCTCCATCGCGGACTTGCTGCCCGAGTCCTGGAAGCCGAAGCTAGTGGGAGCCGGGGAGCCGGGGGAGGAGGTGAGGGGCCCGTTGATTACGGTTGTGGGTCATGATTGGAATACCTTTGCGGATGAGGGGTTGCACGGGAAGCTGCACGTGCCGAAGAATATGACGAACAGGTTTGTGAACCCGGCTTGGAACCGGTATAATGAGGGTCTTGTGCACTTGACGGATCAGCTGAGGGCGAGGGGACCGATTACGGCGGTTGGGTGTGGTCATTTTATCCAGAGAGATGATCCGGCGCTGGTTGCGCAGTTGATACAGGATACTCTGGCGAAGATGGGTTGGGCTTAGTAGGCTGGTAGGGTTGTGGTGGATGGGGGTGTGAAGGTGTAGGTGTGTATCGTGGGTTTGGGTCAGCGGTGGTGGGTTAGCGATTGCATTTTCTACGACGGCTTGCTTTGGTCACGGTTTACTACGTGTATTATGTCTAACATGACTTCACGAGCAACGTTTCTAGTTATGAAAGTACCTAGCGTTCTATCTATTTCTATTCCTTGGGTACTAGCTATTAGGTCCTACCTACCTTAGGTAAAAGTTACGCGTAAGTGGTTTATTATATGATACCCGAATCAAATGACGACGGGTTCCTGTATCAAGGGAACGTCGTCCAAACTTAACTTGCCTACATGTAGTTACAACGTTGCCCTTGCGCGCCACGTAGTATTGAGGAATAGCCCTATCGGAGTAGATTCCCGGACTGGTTGTGCCTCCCCCTATCTAGAACCTCAGACCGTTTGTTTATTTCCGTGCCTGAATTGGCTTTGGGTGCTACTTCATCGCAATGACGAGGTTGACGTCGAAATGTGATGCATCTAGAACATATTGACGCCGGATAGCTGCGTTACATATCTCAGTAGACGATTGGGCTAGCTGTATATCTACAAAAGACGCGAGGTGACGGATGATTCCGAATTAATGGTTTTGTAATATTGGGGTGCAGTAGGGGTGTCTAATCAAGCCTTACCCCTAAGAGTTAGCTGGTACTTCTCCCTACCTGGAACGTTGGTGAGGTTGTTCAAGGCGGTTCACAGGCGATCTATCGGCGATATTTCGACCGCGCTAACAGGCACGGACTCTAGACTCGCATATGGCCCCCAGGTGGCGAGATCGGGGTAGTATGGAGGATTGAAATCGAGGTGTTTCAACTGCACTATCGCTTAGCTTCCTCTTAGTCTTCGCAAGCCTGCTGCTACAGGAGGTAGTTGGGACTAAGTCTATGGAGGCTAGGATGACACCTGCATGGCTGTTCTGGAATTATCTAGCTACTATGCTAGTCGGTGGGTATTGCGGACATAACCTTCTCTGCAATGATACGGACCGCCCTTTTGAAGCACGTGTTTCTGTTTGAGACCCCTATCGGTCAAGTACGCTACAACGAGCTTCGGACTACTTAGACTCGATGTGTGTACCATGTCTTGCGGCTGAACATGACCATGGCTAGAAGCATACGCAATGCCTGGATTGCTTCTAGTGACCGAGCGTATACTAACCAGGTGTAGTAGTACATCACCCGACTCAAACATCTAGATAGTGATGTATATCTACGGAGGCCACGAGGAGATTGACGGCGTCCTAGAAGCCAGAAAGTAGTAGTAGTAGTAGTAGTTGATATTAACGCCGGGGGACCGCTACTCATGTAGCTATCCCAGAGCCTCCCTAGGGGCATATTGGGCGTGCTAGGCTAGGCTTCACATTTTACACTTAGATACAAGATCCTCATAACCCATCTAACAACTCATGTCCGTAGACGCGCGCCGTAGCGATTCCTGCTGTATCCTCCTCACCGCCGTTTGTGGGTAGTTCCCAGCTCTTAAGGTATATCCAACATATAGGTTTCCCTCTCTTTACCTCCAAACGTGTCACCGCCGCTTCTTTGTACCGCGAGCTCCTCTCGATGTTGCCATCGATTCACCGGCCGTTTGAACATGTCCCTCGATAGCTCCTTGCGTTTGTTGGTAGGTGTGATTCGGAGCGCTCCATACGTTGGTGTTTGTATTCTTCAAAGCGCGGCGCGAGGCTCTACCGCGCCGTGTTTTGGGTTAACACAATCGCTTCTGGCGACAGTGGCGCTGGCGATAGACTGTCTGTTCATCCGTACGTTCGTAACGACTTCCCGGTGCTTATGCACCCGTTACCCCTCGTACGTTTGACGTTGTCGTCGATGCAGATGTTGAATTCTCTTGTCGAGAGGACAGCGTTTTGCCAGGTTTTCGGCAGTTGTTAAGGCCATGATGGGTTGTGGGTCAGTTTTGTATGGGAGTTAGGTGCGCCATTTACTGATCCACTACCGCCGCACTAACAGTGGGCGCCAAGACTGGTAGTTGAACTGGGGAAGTTGTAGAAGCCAGAAAGGAAGCAACGCCGGGACTATTGGTATGTGCATGGTGTAGAATAGACCGGATAATGATTATACAATGATAACAAATTAGTTAATTACATACATACTTACTTCCTTACGTTTCGGCCGATAGAGAGACCACTTGTGTTGATCTGTATGCGTATATCTTCCGGGGTTAGTTAACGCAACACCTCCGCCAAACAACTTGCCGCGGCCACGGTATCTTGGTCAATGTCGCCCGTTAGTTACCCGAGTATGAAGTAGCGTGCAGTGTATTGGCCTTGTTGCTATTGTGAACTTGATCTTGCTTGAGTCCCCTAAAGATGTTGCTGTTGACGACCTAATAGATAGATAGAAATGATGTTGATTCCGCTTCAGAACATCCACCAGCATACAGGAAAACTCAAGATGCACTGAACTGAACCCAGCTCATTGAAAGGCGACCGTAAATCTTGCTAGAAGTAGACAGTAATAGAAAAGTAGCCGAAGAAGATACTATCATAGATGCTACCTAATGATGTTTTGCAATTCATACCTCTCTGGGTACTATCCGGATAGGATCCCCTCCTGTCTAAACTGCACTCGGCTACTTTCAGATCACCTTTATCCAGAGTTCCTGTAGGTGTCTATGAGGCGGTTCATCTTTTAAGATCTGACACACCTTATATTTGGGGAACGCCTGCCTGCCAGTTAGACTTGTGTGATTCGTCGTGAGTTTAAGACGAAGCACCACATCTCGAAGGCTTGGTGAATAGGTAAACCCGAGAGTAGATAATCCTTTAGATGAGTTAATGGTCATCCCAAAGCTATGACGTCCTCTACCTGCTTGTTTACTGTTTTAGCAATGTCAAAAACGATGGAATTCGTGGTTGTAAAATAGAGATCGGAAACGATTCGATGGATTCAGCCTCGTTTGACGGTCATGACAGTTGCTGCTTTTGAGTTCACCCGGGTGATACTCTACCTTCACGGGTTGATACCATATGCTGCCGGTTCGGTGTTTTGATTCATAACCCGCCAGTTACTGCCTTTGTATCTCGAGTTGAGCAACCGATACCCACCCATATAAACTGCCCTAGTACTTATATCTGCCAATACACAAGTGCATATACCGCATGCCTAGTTAATGATACCAACTTGTGGCGGAAGAGGTATCGACGCGCAACCGAAGCAAAACTGTCCCAACGTTTGGTGGTTTTTGGCTTTTCAGACGCCTGGTAGAGGGTATCAAACCACAAGGAAACAATCGCATGGCCATTAGCATACTCTCCAGGTAGGTAAGCGGTTTCATGGCTTTGAATCAGATAGTAGCTAGTGACGTTCTAAGGACGGCAAAGAAGAAGTAACTCGAAAAGATGTAGACGCCTTGTTGAATTCCAAGATTAGTAGTTTACCCCCAGGTATCGGGGCAACGACCAATTCTTACCACAACGTTGAAAACCTCCTGTTTGGTTGCCTTCAGATACGACAATTCGATCATACATCGTTTTGGACATGATATTGCTTGATATAAGGTCGGTTCAGAGTCGCTCACTGCGTCATTTGCAAGACATATATGTATGAGATTTCGGTTCAGATCGTACTTCGAGAGAGTGCTTATAAAATACATAGCCACCTCCTCAACATGAAGATCTCACCATAGCTATTGATTTATAACCTAAGGTTAACCGGGCCGGAATGAATAAGCATTTGTGAAGGTAGATCTTGAACTTTGTTTGTTTGTTTGATTGAAGTCCAATAGGATCAGAATTCAGCTTGTGAGATCTGTGAGATTTATTAGCGGCTGACCCTGGAGCAGAGTAGACATCCATGGATCGGGCTCGGGACTGTTCCTGTATGTATACTACATTCTCCGACTACCTACCCAAGCAGGTAGCAGATATGCTAGAGTAGTCTAGGGTTTCCTACGCGACAACCTCGTTATCTTCTCGTTCATGAATGTCTTCAAAAGTTTTATTGAATGAACGCTCTTGGATAGAGGGCCAATTGTCAAGTCCTGCGATTTCACTTCGAAGTGACAGTCACTAAATCTCTTGTCTAGTCTTGGAACATCCCAATGGCGCTTCTTATCTCCGAGATACAACTCAATGGTAAATTCGGGTAAATGGTCGCGACATTGCTTTGGTACGGAATCCTAGTTCGTACATTCTAGAAGAGGCTATGAGTAGTGAGTATTCGGCATCCCTAAGATCTCGAGAAATCACTCTACTTCTCTCACTTCACCTGAGCTGATACTCTCTGATTCACAGCTTAATAGGGTTATTATGAATATTCCTTAACTAAGCACATGTGCAAGTGTAGATAAGTAATATCGGAAGCTCGCGCAAAACAGAGCAGATCCTGGAGGATAATGTGTTTCCAGTAGTGTTTCCAGGATGCTCTTTTGGTGGTTTGAGTTGTTTTGGTGATTTCGTACATCGGATTTTGTTGATCGAAGTTGCTCATCCAATTGTCTTTCCCATTTAAACCTTTTAAACATATGGAATTGCCGTTCTTAGTATAAAGCATGGACCACCCTGCAGAACCTTGTGAGTCCCTAGTGCCTGGTTTTCTCCACTTTACGGGAAAGCTTTCCCAAATGCAGGGTCCGATGCTCGGTAAGTGGCTCGATTAGGATCCACTGTCGTCATTGGTGGCTGACCCGTGAGCCTAGCTTAGAGGGAAAGAAAAATAGCATGGGATCCCTAAAAAAATATGACAATTCTAATTATGTGGGCGGTCTACTGAAGTGGTCTCTGCTCTCCAGTCTCCTCCTCTCCTTGCCTCTCTCACACCACCGATGCGTCGATACGAATTAAACCAATTTCGTTTTTACTACTTGCTCTCTCATTTTTATTCTACTCCTTTTCGCACGTATATACCTGCATTCCCAGGTATGAACCTTTTGAGTACAAGCATATCCTCCTCCTTGCTTTCAGTTCTTTGATCCAAAAATCGAAATGCCCCCGGCAAAGTCGAAAGTGAACCACGACGATGCAAAGTCGGAGACCACCGGTGTCAAGGACCGAAATGGCCACGGATCCAACCATCACCAATCGAACGGAAAGCTTCGACGTGTAGCTAGTTCAACCGGTACACAATTGCGAGACGTAACAGCCGTCAACGGAAACTCGTCGATTGTACCAACGCCATCATCGCAGCCGGCTCACGCTCAAGGGGTAAGACTGACTCTACCAGTCAGCCAGTCTATATGCTACAATTTACAAATCGGCTTACAATCCATTTCTTATAGCTTCAGTGGCCATCATTCGATCGAGAAGTCTTACACGATTACCGTCGCAAATACCTCCTCCACACCCCGACCGCTTTCGCCAATCCATACCATCACTGGGTGCTCTCGCGACCAGGCATCGGCCTACGCTCTCCCACCATGGCACGGAAACAAGAATACCGGCGCCAGAGCAAAGATGAACTTACAAAAGTCGTCCGAAAACACTTCAATGCGCTCGGTGTACAAGAGACCGATGTCATCGTCGACTTTGTTCACAGGGTCAGAAATCCGGGCGTTGTAAAAATAAGGAGAAACAAAGATCTACCACATTCATCTCCATTACCATAATTGGATTCATTTTAAGATACCCCCGAAAGCAAGGATAGCAACGCGTCTGGATTTTGGCATTATTGCATTATTATAGACATTACCATGCCGCAAGACTTTGTTTCGAGTCCTTTGCACACTTCACTTGGGTTCCTCGCATTTTTGCATTATCTGGGAGTTTTAGCGCTGGTCGGCGCTAGGTGGGACTTAACTGCGGAGGAACAAGGACCGACGACTATAACGAATCGATAGGGGCACTATTATGAGAATTCCTAGGGCATAGGTATATATGGTCTGTTTTCGGTTTTATATTGACATTGTATTATATGATGAGATTTAGCATTATATTAAATACTATATACTTACATTTACTATTGTTTATTTACTTTAATGCTTCTGTTTCGTAGATTTTTTTTGGTTCGGGACTGCCACTTTTTTGAGTTTCGCGGTTCTGCTAAATTAGTGTTAAGCCGAACCCCTCATGCGGGACGCGCCTCCAATTTCCTTTTACTAATGGATTTGGATTGGCTGCGCCATTCGTGCGGCACCGCATCTGCTTAATAAACTCCGATCACGACCGTAATACATACAAAAATGGAAAACCCAAATTACTTACTTAGGTACGGCATAAGGCCAATGAGAAAAGAATAATTACTCTTGGTGATTGTATAAGGTTGTTAAATGCTGTTATACATTATAGTTCCACCTTAGAGAGATCAGCTGTTTAGTGAAGACTGTCTTAAAAGTACGGCATCTAAGACAATGAGGTAGCTAATTGGAGAAACTCACCATGCCCCTTATGAATCCACGCGATCCGAGTCTTGAGAACATGACAAATGCCTTGGCACCTTTTACGCTGGCACCAATTGACTTAAGCTTATTTTTCCAACGTTCCTGAACGAGAACTTGGCGAAACATTGTTCTCGACTATAATCATAGTAGGTAGGAACCTACTAGAAAGAGAATGAGGCAATGTTCGTCATTAACCCATAAGCGAATTATCTTAGGATACGAATATAGGAGCAACCGAGTAATATACTTAACATACCTAGGTATGTACATTAAAATTTAGGAGAAGTTATTTGAAAGAGCTAAGTGCTTAAGTACCGTAGATAAGAATGTGGCTAGTGTTATGCTGGTTGTGGCTTCGCACATGTCAAAATTCAACCAGTGGGGTTCAAGAGAATCGAGAATCTTCCCGTTTGCTCGGCACCAGGTCTTTAGCGCAGAAAAAAAAGTTCGAGCGTCATTGCGACCAGCTTCAACTTTTACTGTTACCCACCTACCTAGAAAATATTATTTTCAAGTCGTTCTATATGCTCTGTCCATAGCTTGTTAGCTCTACATATCATGAGGAATTGCAAGACCTAGGCTTGATTTTAACGTGCGATTAGGAGAACTTAAAGATGAATTCCACTCTATTCACAAAAGCTGCGATACCGTCGCGCATACTTTCTCCGGCTCAGATATACCGGAGGCAAAGATTACGAGACAGTTTACGAAGGCGCACACAGAGTAATACCATCACTTCGTTATCGAAGAGACCGAGCCATGCAGTAAAGCGACCAGTTTGCCAAGCTGCATCATACAGACGAGTTAGTCACCCCTCCTAAATTCGACTTATATATCTCTACTAATTATCTTTGATACAGTCCTTCCATGCCACCCCTCGTGCATTCGCTATCAAAGACCCGTACAATACTCTAGGCGTGGGGAAGTCAGCTTCGGCATCAGATATTAAGAAGGCTTACTATGGATTAGCCAAGAAGTACCATCCGGATACGAATAAGGATGCATCAGCAAAAGATAAATTTGGGGAAATCCAATCCGCGTATGAGATTCTCTCCGATCCGAAAAAGAAGGAACAATATGATCAATTCGGAGCGGCCGGTTTTGACCCCAATGCCGGACCCGGACCAGGGGGTGATCCTTTCGGTGGAGGACATCCATTCAGCGGCTTTAGCGGACAAGGAGGCTTCGGTGCTAACTTCAACTTCGATGATCTCTTTTCTGCATTCACTGGTAAACGAGGGAGCCCTTTCCCCGGAGGAAACCCTTTTGCAGGAGGACCGCAAGCTGGTGGAAGGGGGAGCCAATACGAAGAGGTCTGCGTTGGAGAGAACATCGAGGTACAAACAGGCATCTCGTTTATGGAAGCGGCTAGAGGGACAACCCAATCAATTACGATACATCCGTATGTCACGTGTAAAACTTGCACTGGAAGCGGTTTAAAGCCAGGCACCAAGCGGGCGGAGTGCAGGTCTTGCGGCGGGACAGGCACACAGGTACATTTTATGACGGGTGGTTTCCAGATGGCTTCTACCTGTGGCACTTGCAAAGGAACTGGTACAGTGTCCCCTAAAGGATCAGACTGTCGTGACTGTTCTGGAAACGGCGCTGTCAGGGAGCGCAAGACCATCACTGTGGACATCCCGGCTGGTGTTGAGGATGGTATGAGGTTACGATTAGATAGAGAGGGAGATGCACCCGTCACGGGTGGCGAGGCGCCCATCGGTGCTAGGATGGTCCGGGGAGATCTCTACGTTTGTGTACGAGTCGCTTCGGATCCGAAGTTCAAGCGATCAGGATCTGACATACTATACACGGCATCCATACCATTAACTACAGCGATATTAGGTGGTGAAGTGGCGATCCCGACACTAGATGGCCAAGTCAATGTGAAGGTTGCGACAGGCACAAGCACTGGCGACAAATTAACGCTGGCTGGATTGGGTATGAAGAAGCTAGGTGCCCGCCGCAGCAACTCAGGAGACTTAAAGGTGGAATTCCGAGTTGCGATGCCAAAATACCTCTCCGCCAACCAGAGAACGATCGTAGAGATGCTAGCAGAGGAATTAGGCGACAAGACTGCCAAGCGGATTATGAACATCAAGATGCCTGGGTAAGACAATTTTATTCCTATCCACATATGTGAGGATGTATCTAACCTGCTAAAATTATAGATCTCCTGGGAGAGAAGCAACGAAGGGTGAAGACCCTGACACGCATAGAAATGAAGGGTTCCTGAAGGCGATGTGGCATAATCTAACAAATAACCCGGGTCATCCAAAATCAGGAGACCAAAATTCCGGTGATCAGAAGAAGCCTAACGAAGAATCTAAGAAAAACTCGGGCTCCAACTCTGGCTGAGCTCGCAGCCTTGCCTAGACGCAGTCCTCATACGACCGGGTGGTAAACCACTCCCAAAACATGTACCATACTCGCACAATTGAAAGAGATGTGACAGAAACGATCGCGTGGAATATAGATATAGAGAGATTGGGATTGCATGGATGGTGTTTGATGATGGATTAATGATGCTTGGGCGTCTTCAGTGGAATCAACTCACCGGTGAGAGCATCTTTGCGCGCCTTGATATCCACGACATACTCGCAGATTTGCTAGGCATGTATTTGAATCTGTATACTACTAATAGGTACAGGACTCATGATTAGATAATGCGAGGCCACTCTCCTCAATTCAAGATACGTACATGATGAATCGAGATCTGGATGATTTTATCTTGTTTGTGTCAAGCCCTGCGATGTCTTTATTATTTGCATATCCACCTAACGGTCGTACTACATTCTTCATGCACGTGAGGTGCTAGGATGTGTACAGCTGGAGTATGATAATATAGTTATGGATAATGTATGGAGTTGGATCTCACAGGCGGTTGCAGAACTGGCCTCGGTTGGATGAGCCGTGAGGAGAGAAGAGCAGCCCTATTAAGTTAAGGTCGCAGCAGCGGCCCGCTAGGCGCTGATAACCCTTGTTTTCTTCACCAAGGTCTTAGAGTTAACCGCCATAACAACCAATCATAGCGAAGTTGGAGTTGAAGAGGATTACTAGCTGTAGCCAATGACGTACGGCAGAGGGGTTATTTGCCCTGCCTAACGCTCTCGTCACCTGCATAAGTGTGTTATATCGCGGTGACCATTGTTTAATGTAGCGGAGAGATTGTCTTATGAGATCAATCCGGATCTGTATCGGGAGAGGGGAAAGAGATCGAAAGAGATACGATCAATTTTTACTCAATATTGGTGACTGGAAGATGTTTAAATGTTTAGGGGCAGTTAAGTTATACAGCATCGCTGTAGCCTATGATCTCATCAGCATGGGCTGCACAGTAACTTAATGCGTCTCGTATCAAGGGTTACGTTACACATTACTCTGTAAGTAAGCGACTAAATGCATTTATGAACGAGATTGCCTGGCTTTATCTATGGACAGGTAACACTTAACTTTATAGTAGGTAAATCTAGGCAACTACTAGGTACTATATGAGAGGTGCCTACCTACATATTTATTCATCGTATCGTAGCTGCCTACCTAGTATATTCGTACGTAGAGACTTCCACAGTTTAGAGTAAAATGTTGACCGCTGCTGACGACACCTAACTGACCCACTATAGCCGGGAGGTAGGTTATGGAAAGCGTCCCGGCTACCAGTAGTGGTGCATCCACTTAAAAGACTAGACCCCACTTGAGTACCGTATGTGGAAAGATACCTGCCTTAAGACCTTCCTCGGCGGCTATCATTCTTTTAGACGCCAGTTCCAGACAACTTCAAACGTTTTGTCGTTCAATTTACATTGCTTGCCCTTTATTTGCATGTTCGCATGGCCACTTTTATGCGCCTCATTGCATCTACAAACGCGCCGCGTGCTACCTGACTCATGCGTCATCATAGTTGTCCAACCCAACACTGACATCGACTATCTACTCAACTCTTAACCCTCAACTATCGTCGTCGGAATCATTGGGCTACTCTCACCAAGTCCGACTAGGCCGTTTACGACATTGTTCTTTAGCGACAGCATGTTGGCGTGTATATCGACTTTCACTACGAAACAGTTTCTAAAGAACTAACACAGTCCGATAATCCTGCGACACACTTTAGCGGCCAATCTACTCTATTCAATCTACAATTTCTATTACCGATCGTAATCAGCAAAGCTTCAAGCATCGTTGACCCCACATCTTCTTTACACCCGTGCCCGCAGCGTTAGACTCTCTTCGACGATCGTACGTAGCCATATGAGAAACACAGCTCGATACTTTTAGAAAGGGTAAAATTGCTGGGTAGATATACTCTACCGCAGTTTGCATTGTCCACCATGACGCAGACTCCTATGCTCTCGGTGCCTCTAAAGGCTACCAACGAGATTGACTGGATTACCCCACTGAAGACATATATCAGAGATACTTACGGTGATGACCCTGAAAGATATGCGGAGGAATGCGCGACGCTTAACCGCTTGCGCCAAGACATGAGAGGCGCTGGAAAAGACAGCACTGCAGGGAGGGACTTGCTATACAGATATTACGGCCAGCTTGAGCTACTGGACCTTCGTTTCCCGGTAGACGAGCAGCACATCAAAATCCCATTCACTTGGTAAGAACATATCGTCGCAAGGACAGGTTATGTGAAGCTGGTAATCTAACTTGGATATGACAGGTTCGATGCGTTTACCCACAAGTCCACATCTCAATACTCGCTTGCATTCGAGAAAGCTTCTATAATCTTCAACATATCCGCTGTTTTATCCTGCCATGCTGCCAACCAAACCCGATCCGAAGAGACCGGTCTCAAGACCTCATATCACTCCTTCCAAGCCTCTGCTGGCATGTTCACCTACATCAACGAGAATTTCTTGCACGCCCCATCATCCGACCTGAGCAGAGAGACTGTTAAGACTTTGATCCAAATAATGCTTGCGCAAGCTCAAGAGATCTTTCTCGAGAAACAAGTCGCAGACCAAAAGAAGGTAGGTCTACTAGCGAAGTTGTCTAGTCAGGCCGCGTATCTATACCAACAAGCATTGGAAGGCGTCCAGGAAAACGTCACCAAGGCTATCTTTGAGAAAGTCTGGCTCCTATTTACCCAGGTAGGCATCCCGAGCTTTGGAAGAGTAGAGTGCATTATTAACCATTGTCTAGATCAAAGCTAGTTTAATGACATCGAATGCTCAGTATTATCAAGCGCTTGCTGATGAAGATGCTAACTCATACGGCGTCGCCGTCGCAAGACTCACGACAGCCGAAACTCATGCGAAGGAAGCTAATAAGATAGCTATTAGCTTCCCTAACACCATGCCGCCCAGCGCAAACTTGAGTGCCGATACAGGAACCTTGCTAGCAGAGATCACAAAGAGGAACTTGACTACAATCCAGGAGAAGTTGAAGGAATTGATAAAAGACAACGATTACATCTACCACCAGACTGTTCCCGCGGAGGCTAGTCTAGTCCCAGTGCCAAAACTGCCTGCTGCCAAGCCAATACCGGTGAACGAGCTTTATGCTGGTCAAGACATTCAACGTATAACCGGCCCGGATTTGTTCTCGAAGATCGTCCCATTTACGGTTACTGAGTCCGCTAGCTTGTACGATGAGGAAAAGGCAAAACTGGTGCGCGCTGAGGCACAGAGAGTCGATATGGCCGATGTTGAAATGGCGACGAGCTTGGATTACCTCAAGCTTCCGGGCTCATTGAACGTATTAAGGGGGGGTATTGACCAGGATATCCGACCGGATTCAGAATTCCAGACTTGGTGCGATGATGTTGCAGGACATGAAAATCCGATTTCGATATTCGATACGTTGCGTATAGACAAGGATGCGATAGTGACGGTGTTGGATAGGTGTTCGAAACAACTCGATATGGAAGAGAGCGTTTGCGAGAAAATGAGGTCGAAGTATGAGAGTGAGTGGACACAACAACCTAGCTCGCGGCTTACTACTACGCTGCGAGGAAATATCCGGAATTATAAGGAAGCTCTAGATGAGGCGGCAAAAAGCGACGGCCAGCTGTATGCCAAATTCCGTCAAAATGAAGTGGATTTTGAAGAGATGCGGAATGCTGCACAAACAGGCGAAGTGGATTCATTATTCCAGATGGCCGTTAACAAAGTCAGGGGAAAGTCTAGTAACGCAACAAGTCCGGCAAGTGGCGAGGCGAATTTACTGGATGCTGACTTTGAGGATGATAGCCCAAGCGTCGCAGAACAGATTGCTAGAGTCGAGGGCATTCTTAAAAAACTGGAATTGGTCAAGAGAGAACGAACCCAAGTATTAAAAGATCTCAAGGAAAAGGTGAGTGCGATAACTCTGGGCATTTGAACATTGGTTGACTAATCGAACTAGGTCCACAACGACGATATCTCACAAATTCTAATTCTAAACAAGAAGTCTATACCAAACTTCGAGAAAGAATTGTTCCAATCCGAACTAGAGAAGTTCCGTCCTCGCCAGGATCGGATTTTACAGGCAAATCATAAGCAAGCCTCACTTATGAAGGAGCTGCAAGCAACTTTCAGCCATCTTCTTCAGGACAAGCGTGTGCGTTCAGAACGAAGCAAGTATGAAATACTGCAACGGCAAAGAAATTCGGTGGTCAACAAGTATAAGAGGGCCTATCAAGAATTTCTAGATCTTGAATCTGGTTTACAGGGCGCAAAGAACTGGTACACCGAGATGAAGGAGACGGTTGACAGCCTCGAGAAGAACGTCGAGACATTTGTGAACAATAGGAGGTCTGAAGGTGCCCAATTGCTTAACCAGATCGAGCAAGAAATAGCTGCGAACAAGAGTTCGCAAGCTGAAGTTGAGCGAGAAAGGCTTCGTGGCCTTATGGAGCGTATGTCTATGGATCCTAGCGCATCACCACCCCCGAAACCAGGTTCGACGCGGCCTGTGCCGACGCCGCTGTCTTTTTCAAGCACTCCCCGTTATCCCCAAACCACTCTCGCTGGTCAATATCAGATGCCAACATCTCCGCCGCCGAACCAGGCCAATTATCCTAGTTTCTCTAACCCACCACCAAACACTACTTACGTATCGGCGCCGCAGCAATCATACACTCCCAATCCGCAACAAAACAACCAACAGTATGGTCAAGCAGCATACAATCCTAGTAGTTGGGGCCGGAATCCTGGTCCTGCCTCGCCGCCGCCGAACCAGAGTACTTTTGGACTTGGTGTAGGTGGCAGAGGCCCTGCCTCACCTCCACCAAACCAGACTTCCTTCGCGCAGAATCAATATAGTACCTACGGAAACCCGCAAGCGCAAGCGTCACAACAGTACATGCCTCCCGGCTTTGTGCCACCTCCACCTCCACCCGGACCTCCGCCTTTAGGACCGCAGCAGACGATCCATTACTCGCAGCAACCGCAGGACTATGCGTATGGGCAACCTCAAAACTCGGCTCATCGGTCGTCACAATCACAAAGTGATCCGTGGGCGGGGTTAAATGCTTGGAAATAGGGAAGGAAGAAGGGTCACGACATTGATGAAGGAAATGCGAGCAATGATACTCTTAGACTATGGGAAGCCAACTAACTATCCAGGGGAAAAGTACCGAAATAGCAAGTCTAGAAATACTAGTAGCCTATCAGGTTTTTGTTTGACTGTTATTCTTAGATGGAATATGTGATAAATATTTGCTAAAGCCTCTAGGTTTCTAAAGCGTTCGCCGATTAATCGAGTCGGAAATTCAGATATCAGTTCGATACAAGCTTGACGTAGTTACGTCTGCATTGTCTAAAAATGATGCCTCGTAAGGATTAAGCAAGGTTAAGTTGCTACTAGATACCAACAAACTAACGCTCGAGGTCATGTTGATAGAATCGAATGAACTATAACCCCCGTGATCGAAGTTGGCCTCGGGTTCACTTAGAACTTGTCTCGGCAGCCCGCATGGTGATAGGAAGCAGACAGAGGTCCCTTGACACATGGATCGGGTTTAGCAAACATCGTCGAACTTGGAGAAGTTGCCTATGCAGATCTTATCCATTGGTACGGATGAGCGAATATGCAGGTCGGCCTTTTATAGTAGCTACTCGCCGAAACTCATAGGGATGGCTATACTTGCATATATACAAGTATGTGTTTTAAAATTGCCGGCCGGTGATACCTACTGGGTGGTAAGTAACATGCATATAACATACTTAGCTATATACACGAATACATAACGAGTGGGATTCTCCGTCAAGCTTGCAAGGGTCGGTAGGTGGTTTCGGAGGAGAAAGAATGGGAACTAGAAGAGAAAAAGAAGGAAAAGAAGGAAAGAAAAGGAACAGTTGGGGCCTTGGCAATCGAGTCGATGTCGCGATGCGGGAAGGACTATGATAAGTTGAGGTCGTTTATGCAATGCAAGACAGTTGGCATGGCATATCGCCACATCTTGTAGCACTCTAAACCGACCTAGGCAGCTTAGACGAGGGGAGAACGCGGTTGCGGGAAAACTAAGGGTAGATTCTTTTTCTTTTGTTTTGATATGAGAAATGAGAAATGATATTATAAAGATAATGGGTTTGTGGTTTTGTTTTTGTTGTTAGTGTTTCTGGAAGTAATTAAACTCGATATCGAGTCTAGAAAGTGATCGATTCCGACCTCTATCAAAGTTCTAGTATCGATAAATAATTTAATTGCTGAAGAAACTTGGTCGCTAAAGTCCCAATGGCCACACGTGATTGGAGGCTCCTGTAGCTTTGTCTTGGGCTAGTACAAATGAAGTAAGAGGTAGGACTGCTATTCCGTCGGCGTCAGAGACGATGATTCACCGATGATTAAACAAAAGGGTAAGTGGGATGGATCTCCTAGGTGGTACTGAGGGTAGCGCTTGACCATCGCTAATTCATTGGCGTGGAAGCTGCGTGGGACCACCTAAAAAGATTCGATATTATCCAATCTTTTTAAGAATTTCTCCCATTTCCCATGAACAATAATAAACATTGCCCGTCTAGCCATCGACATCGATATACATATTTCTCTCTCTACTTCTCTGATTGTTACATGACGATATCTCGATGCCGCAAGAGGCATTGAAGATCATGTATATTACTCCACCAATGGCACTTGTGTGACGCTAAGCTCGACTATTCTGATCTATCTGATCTCTTATTTCTCTTATTTTCCTTGTCATTGTTACTGGAACTACGAAGTACTTTCCTGCTAGGCTGTTAGGTTTCTTGGCCGTCGTCGGTGGGAAAAACCACAATTGTCAGGGTCAGATTCCCGGAACCAGGCTTACACTTGGACCGGATAACGGCCATTGGCATCAACATCTTTCCTTTGCGATCTGATTCGACTTCGATTTGGCTTGAACTCATCTATGGCCTTTTAGTTGTTCGGGTATCTTTATATTACTCGTGGACCTCTTTATTAAAGCGCCAGGGTCTTGTCCTATCCCATCGTCTGGTTGGTTAGCGTACTTTCTCCTCGATCTGCCTCCCGGGGATTCTGTATTGTTACCAAGAGTTCACCGCCTCTGCCCGCTCCGCCCGAGCTTCTAAACTAGGTCGGGTATTAGCTATATGGAAATCTTCAATCCCGTTGGATAGATTGCCGCTTTGCCGTTTCTTACTCCACCTTCGGTTGGGAACGAGTGTGTAGTTACCAACTCAGCATCAGCATCGTCTACGATCCACCTCCGTATTTACCGCCGACAGCAGTACCACTTTCGAGTTTATACGTACACGATCCTCCATCTATAATATTGCCTGTCTAGAGGCGTGCGAAGCTTCGTAATGGCCACCCCGGGTTCTAACAGCACTGGGGAGGGCGGAGAGACGGGTAAGGCGGCCGGCTTCATACCGCTGGTGACGGTTGTAGACTTCCACCACCATCGAGGTCCCGAAGTCGAGAGATGGTTTGGCGTAGCCGAAGGGCAAGACCCAGCAGCCGACTATGACTGGACGTTGCTCCCATTCATGGCCCTGAGCGATGGGGCTCACGCGTAAGTTAGATTTTAGTAAAGCATGTTTACTTAGGTATCTAGTATTAACTCAAGCCAATTTGAATGCATAGGTCGACGGAAGACTTCTCGTATTTTACCCTTCTACGGCCGGCTACCGACGATTCTCCCGCAACATCTCTCTTCGGCATATCATGTACAAGACAATTAGACGCCTCGCAATTGCTGGTTCGACCTGCCGATGTGACGCGTTCAACTGTTCAAAAGGCTGTCGTGGTGATAGCGGACAGCCCGCAATTCTTTGGCATGCTTAGGGAGCGGCTATCTATCGTTACCAATGCTTGGTTTGCTCAACGCGAGTTCAGTGATACCGAAATATTGCGGCGATTTCAAGAGAGCCTTGCGGATGAAAAGACACGCGGTCAGATGAACGAAGATGTGGATAGGGATCAATACCTGGGTATGAGCCTCCGAGAACTGGTAAGGGAGTTCCGTTGGCAAACTCTAGTGTTGCTGAAATGTTGTCTTCTACAGCCCAAGGTGAGTAGCTTGATATAAATCGGCTGTGTTCCGATTTAGAACTTACAAATCGTTAGATGCTCTTTTTCGGCTCGCGATGCGAGCGCCTGTGCATGATGCAGTTCTCCCTCATCTCCTTAATACCGGGTTTGCTTAGAAGCCTTCAAGACTGTGCAGGTCCCGACTTGAACAACTACGAGAAAAATCTGAGTAGGCCGACGAGCTTGAGGTCTAGTGACCGAAATTCGTTACTTTCATACATGGGACTACCACTACAAATATTCGGCAAGGTGAGTTGATCCACTACTTTCATCTGAAACATGCGCTGATCAGACATAGGGAAGTTTGTTCGGACCATACACGCCCTTGCAACAATTGGATGTCCTGGCGGACTTCGGCACTAAATCATATATAGTTGGCAGCACGAATTCATTACTATTACAGCAAAGGGACCGATACAGCGATATACTAATCAACCTCGACGAGAACACGATCAATATTACCTCCACCTCTCTACGCACCGCATTGGCACTTTCCCATTCCGATAGACGATGGATTGATGTTATCACGCAAGAAGTGAATGACACATGGGACGAAGCAAATCCAGGTCGGCCGAAGACAATGGGATACCGTGGCAGCGAAGAATTCATCCGGCTTCAATTTGAAGAATATCTCCTATCTCTCATCTCTTCAGTCAAATATCATAATTATCTCACCCAGAACGCCCACAACCCCAAAGCGCTTCTTCCGCACATCGAGGGGGACCCTTCAGTGGATTTCAGCAACGAATGGGTTGAATATTGGATGAGGACGGAGAATTATCGCATGTGGAGTTCACATACAGATTCGCACCTGTTTGACATCGTTGAACCGAAGCATCCCTGTGCTGGGGGGCTTACCGTCGACGATGTTCAGCGACGGATCCAGCAACAGGTTCAAGACCTCCATCTGGACGAAAGGTTCGCAGTTGGCAAGGAGGTTCTGGGGAGGAACCTAGCTGCAGGACGCGATAAGGCAAGCACTATGTTTAACAGGTTTTATGCTGATATGGAAACTCTCCGCGAAGCGCAAAGGAAACGCGCCGAAGAGACCCAGGCAGCAGAAAAGAACGGTTCCGCGACAAATGATGCAGACTCAGGCAAGACGCAGCAAGCAGGGGGTTCGGTCAGCTCGAGAGCCGGCGCATATATCGGTAGCTGGACTTCATGGGCAGATCAGAAACGGAAGCAAGGGTGGGGTCGATCAAGCGGAAGCGCTAGCAGTGGCGGATGGGGATTTGGTAGTAAACGGTTGTCGAGAGGGTTTAACATGGATTCGGGCAGCGAAAAGAACGCCACGCCCCTTAGCAGTCCGGCACTCTCGTCCCCGGGATTTACTTCTACCGAAAAAATCCAAATGTCGGATGTGCAACACCGGTCTAGCGAGGGTACCGATAGGAGGCCGCTTACTCAAGATAGTTTTGGTGAGAGTCTGCTTGATACTGCGGGTTCGACCGAGAGTGGAGCTTCTAGTCCGGCTAGTGTCCGGAAGCCTACCCCGGCCCCGGAACGCGGTGATACGATCAATGGGTCGAAGTTAGAAGAAGTAAAAGAGCAAAGTGAAGTTGCGGAGGCAGCTGTGGAAAAGAAGGGTGAGGAGAAGAAGAGCGAAGAAAAGAGTGAGGAGGAAAGTAAAGAGAAGATAGAGGAGCCGAAAGCAGCTGTGGAGACAACCGCATAGCGGCAAATATATACGATGCCTACATATAAAGGTATGACCGCGAGGGATGATAGTAGGAAAGGAGATACAAGTACTCAAGGCATCGATTGGATAAGAACGCAGGCTTGCTTAAGAAGCAACGGATGAAGGGCCGAATAGAGCGGTACGGCTAGACCTGGATGAGGCTTTCTTGGCATAGCTATGGCTAGGAGCATTTGACGGGATGACTACGGGGGTGCAAGACACGCGGATGAGATGAGGGATGTGGAGGTACCGATTTATATTATACACGTCTCCCTCCTTCCCTAGATACCCTTGGGGATGGGGATAGGGGAATGACGATGGCCCACAGCCGAATTACGTAGTAGGTAGGATGAAATGAATCGAAACGATTTGAAATTCGACGAATTATGAATCATGGATCACAATGAAATAATTAACGCTGAAAAGTTGTTTGTGCTAGGACTTGACGTGACTTGCTGTGATATGGATTAGACTGACTGTTAGTCTTGATCCTAGGCACTAAGAACGTCTTAACGATTTGATATTTCCAGTCATTAATCTCTACTTTCACGTTGATCACGATTCTCACATCACCACAAAACAGAAAGGGTGGGCATATGTAGCTACTGTGTAGTTTTACGTGTGTAAAAAGGGAAAGTATTCACGGTGAAAATGTTGAAATGTATCTAGCGAATTTATTCATTCGTGTCTATGAATTTTGCGGGTTTGCTATAGCACTCATCGACACATAGCAAGAGATATAGAGGTGGGTTGGCTTCATTAGACTTGTGATCACTCGCCGAGCGAACTCGGTTCGTAGGCAAGACTAGAAGCAATGGTGACGTGGGTAAGAAGAGCGTTGCGTTCATCAATGTGGGAGATAGAGTTCTATGATCAAAGGGGGGACTGCGGCTCTTCCATGAATACGTGCCACCGATTTCCGGGCTGCCAATTTCGTCACGTCGTCAAACGCACCTAGTATGCAGCAGTCCCATTATTCCATCATCTGCCTCCAAGTACCCGAAAATCGGGAAGCCCGAGAATTGTCTGAGCCTCGTCGTATGCGTAAAAAATAGGAACCGTCCACGTCGCCCGCCTCGAATAATCTTCCAACCAACCAGCCATGTCCGAGTTCTTTTAAGGAACCAATCTCCAAGTTTTGATTTTACACCCTCGGAAAGTGTGATGATGAGTATCAAGTTGCCGCCGGGAAACTGATACCGGAAGAGGGAATTATCGGGGATATATGCGCAGAATTAATGCAATTTTTCTCGGAGCGGGAAAATTCGGACTAGTGGGCTTATGCGAGATAACCAAGCTCGTCATCCTCCAATCGTTCAAGATACTCCTTGTCAAGAAGAATCTCGATACACTTCTTGATATCACTAACTCTGGGGACAAAACGAGACTTGATCTGGTTGATTGTATCACCAACAAGCTGAGCGTGCTTCAACTTCTTTCGTGCCTTCATGATTCGGACAATAGAAGACTAAATCATGGTTAGTATTACACTCTATACTGACTCAACGAAAGAAAACCGAAAGGTAACAGCAACCCTTTAAGAGCCGAAAACTGTAATGAAAAATGGACTGGAAGGTAAACATACTTGTAACACTAATTGTCGATCCTCCTCAATTGTCTTGTTGGTATCTGCTTCTTCTTGCTTCTGCTCGGACTTGGTAGCAACATTTAGGTTGACTCGGATCTTTTTACTCTTGAAATCGTAATTAAGATGGAACATCTTTCCAGGACCGGGTTTCTCACCGTCGGGCTTCATAAGTAGGACCTTGGCTTTGAGAAGGATTCCGATACCAGGATCTAGTGCCTCGCTACTTAGTTGGGTGACCGATGCGATATCCTCGTACGAGTGGGCGTCTTTGGAGTTAAACATCAATAGAACCGCCATCTGGTACACGCTGACTTGGAATGTAAAAGGTGTCTTCGAGGATCTACAGTACCCGGTCTTAAGTTCTCCTTTGCAGAGTTGCCATAACCAGGTCAACTTACGACCCTCGTGCTTATTTCGGTAAAAGAGAGTGAACCGGTCGATATCCGTATGGATTTCGGCCGGTGGGCTGAACGTCGTGTTAGGAGGTGTCAGCGGCCAGAAGCTAGTACCTAAGATCGAGTACGTGGAGTCAAGGGCTGGTTTCTCTAATTGGAGACCCTTGGTGTGCTCTTTGAATCCAGTATTGAGATCCTTGGAGATTTGCATGTCCTGGAACATGCGTTGAAGTTTGTTCGTGTACTCAAAACCACATGCCTCCTTGAGCTTGCTGATCATGCTGGTCTCGGCATCATCTGAGGAAGAGCTGCTATGTACGAGGCGTCGAGCTAACATTCTCGAGTAAAACTTCTGGAAAACGTCCTTGTCCTCGATATACTTGAAGACAGTCATTATCTGTGTCAGAGTAGTGTCAAGCTCGGCTTCCTCCACACCAGTTCCGCTCTTGCGCAGAAGCACATCAGTGTACTTGGCCAAGAGTTCGGGAGATTTGCTGCTTCCTGCTTTGCAAATATCGTTGCGGTTCACGAACTCTCTGCAAGCATTGTCTAGCGATCGAGTGAATTCCGGTTCATCGGCAAATGCGCGCTTAACCAAGCCTTGATACCGTGTATGCGTCTCGAGTAAAGCTTCGACGTAGACCTTGGGCTCGAGCTTCTCAGCGTCCGAAGCCACCTTGGCAACCGCATTTAGGCCGGCGTTACGAACATGAGTCTCAAACTTCTGCCGGAGAGGCTCCAAACCGTCTGGAATTCTAGACAGGAGATTGTACATGCGGGCCATGTCTTCTTCTCGGTCATTGTCTAGCAGAACTTGAAACTCGTCTCGCAACATTGCCGAATGGTCAGCGATTAGCGCCTTGTTGCATGTCTTCTTGAGCGGCAATGCTATATCGTTATGGAGGTACATGCGCACACGCTCCTCCTCTTCGGATAATCGAGTCTCTGCCTTCTTCATGTACTCGACAACACTATTCTCCGCAACGAATTGTTTGGACTCGGCTTTGTAGAACTCCTCGGTCGCAGCGAGGAAGGGCTTCTCGAAATGGAAGCGATAGGTATCAAGAGTCGACTTGGTGGCATCGTGCTCATCGAGGCCGAGGGATACGAAGGAGTCGACGACCTGCTTGATTTGCCGGTGCTCTATGGTCTCGCCGTTTCTCTGTTTCTCGACCAGCATGAGCACAGCATCCATGACTTTCTTGTTCACAAGGGTGAAGAACTCAGTGCGCCATTGATACAGATGCAATGTATACACATCGTAGGTATTCTTCTTTCCTTCATCCATCTCCCTCTTAACCCAGTGTCGATTAAGATAACGGAACAGATGATGGATATACTTGGCGGCGACGGTGTATCTGTTCCACTCTCTGATGTAGAAGGTGAGGAGCGCCTCGTCGGTATGCGCCTTGGATTGTTCGTAGAGGCCGTTCAGATGGTCGGTCAAGTATTCTTTGAGCTTCCTGTACAGATCTTCGCCGAGGAGATGAGCTATAGTAGGATTGTTAGCGAGAGTGAATTAATGGGAGAAGTTGAAGCCAATACCTCCTCTATGAGCCTGACCTACGGCGTTAGAGCTTCCCAGGCCAACAGCTTTCTGTGACGTGCAGAAGTTATGGACGGCACTATTTTGTCAGTCTATAGCTAGGAAGTTGAGGGGGGTGGTAGGCTCACGTGTAGATGCCCATGTACTAGAATGAAAGGTTAGCTGCGGAATAGATAACTATGAGGGGCTTATGGAAGCATACCGTTGTCATGTCCATGCCATCTTGCAAATTAATCATAATCTTAGAAATACCGGCCTGAAGGTATTCCCATGTTTGTACGATATCTTCCCGGTTTGGCACCGGCGGCATGGATCGAGTCGCCGTTACAGACATGATGGCGGGAGAATCGGAAGGGCTTTCCTCCGAAGAGGACGTCGGGTAGAAATGATGGTCAAGTCGGCGTTAATGTTTAAAGTGTTATGGGGAGTGATGAGTTCTCTAGATAGACTGGTACTCAAGAGTCAAGTTAGTTCGGAGTAGAAAAAATGATTAGGGGAAAAGGCGGGTGAACGATTAAAGACCGCAGGAAGTGAAGGGACAAGGTAATGTAGAATATGTAAAAAAAGGAAAAGAAGAAGAAAAGCGAAGGCAAGCGCAAGTTATGTTCCTTGTATGGTTTCCAAACCGATAGTGTGAAGAGAAGGGAAGGCAGGTGCAATAGTATGAGGAAAGACCGCCGGAAACTTACAGGTGTCTGCCAACCTGGCAGCCTGGTGTGAATATTCCAGACCCGTGACCAGAACGAAAAGAAGATTCGCAGTCCTTAAACCGTCAAACGGCGTGGTTCTAGAAAACACCTAAAACGAAATAAAAGTATGAGCTAAGAAAAGACGCGACGCGACCAACGAAATGCAAATGTATGATGAAACTTGGGCGACGTCGAAAATTGATGTGAGGTCACTGGTGTGAATGAGTGAATGGAGTTAGATTTCAAGGTCGCCGCAATGAATTACTAGGAGTTAAGACTGGGAGTTAAGGCAGCCCTGGTGACAAGAGCAGCAAGACTCCAAAACTGATCCGGCACGGCACAAGTTGATAATCCTAGCACCTGAAAAGGTTAGTGTCTTTTTTACCGCCTCCGCCCCCACCATCGAAAATCAACCATTTAGGTACCTAAATACGCGATTGCCCCTCCAAAAGATACATGGGTACTTTTGATACTGTGTCTAAAATCATTGATGTCTAAATATTCCAATTTTCATTGCTGCATATATCTTTTACGAGACGAGATGCCATAATCATATGTTTTAAGAAATATTTATTCATCTGCTCGTCTGAATTATTTTTCATGTACATTATCTATCCCACCGAGCTTCTCCGCAAGTCTGAACACATTGATAGTGAAATTCAGAATCCAGGCGATCAGCCCTACTAGCGTCAGCGCCGCGAGCCCCCTAGCCAAATGTAGAGATGCATCCTCCATTCCCTCCCAACTAGAATCTGTTGATAACCCATCGCCACTATGATACACCAATGCTTCAAACGCCAACGCCGTACTAGAGGACTTTAACACGATGAAAACAAGGTCTAGCAGTGTGAGCGAAATCTTTTGCGCCGGGGCTCGGAGTCCTAAAGGTTTCCCTGTGTACTCGTCCCAGGTCATATAAAGAATATAAGGGATAGCGACAACATCGATGACTATGGCAACGGTTGCCTGTGACGTCTCCGGAATATTTTCGACTGAAATTTCCGGATCCTGATTTCTCTGGAAGATATTACACGCAAGGGCAAGAGCCGCAATGGAAGTGATGAGGACTATTAGACGGAAAATGAGTGGTGCAATCGGGTGTCTCAGTACGAAGTTGGAAATTCGCATGAACCATGTTTGTTTCCTCGACCTCCCCTTAGTCTTAAGATCCAATGGGTGAAATGGACTCCGTACTGGCTGGTCGAGGCCCGGCATTTGCTGTTCCAAAGTCGCGTACGGTACCACCTCGAATTCATCATCAGCACGCCGGCCGTAGGAAGAGGATTGGATGAAATCTCTCCATCTCTCATATGGGTCTTCATTAGGTGCTCGGTAACCAAGCCCCATAATCACAGGTTCTGCCGTGCGTAAATGATCCCATCGTCGACCTGGCCTGTCGGCTCGTTTCCTTAGGAATACAGGGAGCTTGGATACACGGTCATGTTTTTCATCAACCCAGTCGACATAGCCATCTTTCGATACCCTCCTCCTTAACGGTCGGCTTCCCTTATTCTGCTCTGGGTGGACGCTTGGTCTAGGAGGCTTAAGATGTTTATCCTGCTTGGGTCCGTGTGCATCTTCGTCATATAGCTCTACCCAAGCAGGTACAGTAATCCTCAAAGGATTCCGGGTCATCTCAATGTTTGAAGCGACAAATTCATAGGGATGTGGGATTCTGGTAAGGATAAAGTTGAAAAAGGACCACGATCATCGATTGGACAGACTGGATTACTAGTCATCCTCTCATATAGCTAGGAGCTTTATGTCGTTCGGAACTCGGAAGAGGTGGGGGAATAGCGTTTGATAGAAAATCGCCACTAAGAGATACGTAGTGCTTTGCGCGTTCCCGTTGGCGCCGACTTTCACCAAACTTTCCAAATACCAACGCGTACCAGAATAGGAAATATGGAGGTAACAGAACAAAGCGCAGAGCCACCCAGGTAGTCAAGCAGAAGAAGATATAAACTATTACTTATTAATCGGTTGTAGAAGGAATAAAGCGATTCGAGGGCATAGAAAAGTCCAAGTAGGCGTGGGAGGATTATTTAAACAATGTCATATGAACAATACGACCCTCTCATGACGTGTTTTGACCGGAAGACAGGAACAACGAAGATGGAGAAACTTATGGAGACGAGAAAAGAAATACGAATGATATATAGTACACGGCGCAGAGAGCTTTTCGAGCGTACCATATAGGTAGGATGAGAATGGCAAGTTCGAATTATGTATGCTGGAGAAAGGATGACAAACTTTATGTGATCACAAAAGCGCAAGATAATTAAATTAAGTCAGCCCCAGCACTCCAGCAGATTGGGCGCGTTGGCCGGGGAGAGGTTCGTCTTGGCAGGGATATGTACATATCAAGATCATATGGTCGATAGATGGTCATAGCTTCTAAGCTAGGAAGGATCAATTTGTTTCGTTTCAAATGTGGGTCAATAATGTATATCTGTAACTAGTATTCAAATATTGGTGGCCACTGTGCTATTGTTCAGCCACAAAAAGTAAGTTCTTCACAACTTCGAATTTGTTATAATTATCTATATTTTTACTGTTATTATGTGATCCACCATCCATGGTATTGGATGTCTTATACAACGATCGTAAACGTTATCTCTACTCACCCACGTGGGTAGTGTTCATGTTCTGGTACCGCCACATGTAAACGTACGAACCCGGGGTATTTGCAGGATGTACCTAAGTAGCAGGCCATAAGGTTCGAAATACGCAACCTTGGAAGGCGCAAGCCACAGCACGATCCTAGTTCACATGCGTCACCAGCGCATCTTCATTTGCTACCCTAAGAATACTCTTCCGACAAGGGTATAAAAAAAAGCTACAATTTCAACGTCATACAATTAATCCATTGCTACCATACAACAACAATGATTTCGCTTGAAATTATCGAGAGATGAAGTAACAGGAGCTTTAGTACGACATAATTTCCCTAGCCTAGCTCAACTTGTCGCACTCGCGATCTAATATTCGCCGTCGACCGCAATAATGAGGTTCTTCCTCTTACCTATCTCGACCCGGCGAACGTTACTTTACTGCCAGAAGATCCAAGTCTTACCGAAAGACAAGCAAACTATAGTCGACAAGGCCGCCGTTCGTGCTGCAAAACTCTGGTCTGGTTGGGAGAAGAAGGAAGCTGGCTGGCAAAAGAAAGTTGTCGTCTATGGAAATTATCTACTGAGAAGAATTCATTTCGAAGAATGGGGTCTGAAATCGGTGCCTCCCTTGTCTACTAAACGAAGGGAAGAAGAAGTACTGGGAAAGGATAAGAACCTCCTTATTTACCCCGAGGATATCATCCCTACGAAACATGCTATAAATGTACTACGAGCGTTAGGCACAGACCGAGAGCCTCTGCATAGATCCAGATTAATATGGTGTCTTATTGGAATGCCTATCAGTGCGCCGTTCGCCCTTGTCCCGGTGTAAGTGTATTTGCCCTAAGTATGCATTCCATATGTATATCCTTTTGACAGTCGGTTCTCTAGAATACCCAACCTTCCTTTCTTCTACCTCATGTACAGAGCATGGTCTCATTGGCGCGCCCTTGCTGGTGGAAAACACATTCGATTCCTCTGCGATAATAATCTCCTGTCTTTGTCACCATCTCCAGCCCTCAACTCAATCTATACACCACTTTTCAACCGCGCTACCACCTCAAAGGAGTCGACGGCAGATATAGGAGAAACAAAGCCACTACCTGATAATAAATCGAAGATTTCCGATGAGGAGGCTCTACTCCTTTCGCAGGAGAATGGGCGGCAGCTTGTTAGGGCCCTAGAAATTCCGGAACTCGAAGTTGAGCTTGAGAGGGCGATATGGCAAGTCGAGGATGCGATCCAAAAGGAAAGAGAACAAAAGGCCAAACCTCCAGATACGACCAAGACGAAGTGATGAATTGGTAATAAAAAAACGACCACTCGTAATGTGTGATGACAGGACGGTGTTTAACGACGGTGGGGTCATGAGGATATAGAAGGGATACATGGACCTGGTATTGGGGATAGATAAACGGACCTGACTCTTCATTCTGTGGTGAAATTTACCTGGGGAGGTAAGTAACAGAAAAAAAAGTTATCCATTCGCATAAACAAGAGGTATGATTATCATGTCCGCCAAGCCTGAATTCTGCCGATTGCGACTATACGCAATGCCGATACAGTTCCAACAATACATAAAATCGCCATGATTATTATTAAACGCTTTGTCGTTGAAGAATGGAAAGGGTAATTCCTCTCTGGTGGCCATTCTTCCCGATATCTCCCATCAGCAAATGCTTGCTTCTCCATATCGATTTGCCGTATACTTGGTATGTCGTCCTGATATTTGCTCTCTGGGAGATACTCTGTACGAGAGTGACCGGGATGAGAACCATTTATTTGCTCTCTCGATATCATATTATCACCATCGTTATGTGTAGTTCGGGCGTGGCTTGCACTGGTGGAATCCCGAGAAGACATCGTCCTCCATGCGCGCGCAGCCTTCTGGCGCATCAACCTCTGCGTAGGACTCTGCTCGTGCTTTACGGTTCGGCTCTGTTCATCCCGCTTCTGTCGTCTCAGCGATGCCTTGGGATTTGACGGATTTAAAGGCGAAGAAGTATGTGGCATATACGATTGTTCTCTCGGGGGTATACCCCAAGGAGCTATTGCCATTTTCTCGGATCAGACGGGTGTATTAAAGGTAGTAGGATGTGAAGTTTCTAGCTTCGCTGCAGCTTTCCGGGAGGTGGATACCTATTCTTTGATATCCTAAACAAAGACCTTCAAAAATAAGAATGGACGAGTACTTCAAGACAGTGACATTCAATCGTTGTACCAGTCCGAGTTAGATTAAATTCTTCTCAAGATGTCTTATTCCCGCCTCCCTTGCGTCCATGTCGAAGCAATGGCGGTTCCCATCCAGACGGTACACCTTATACTATGGGAGAATAACAACAGCTGAATAAATTATGGCTTGAGGTGGAACTGGAATCTGTTGGTAATGAATCACATTGGTTGTTTAGCCGCTGCGCCGACATGACTTCACAACCTCTTTTACTTGCCTCTCTTGATATTTTGTTACCTAAGTACAACTTAACACAGTCCGTCAGACCTCCTATAATTCTTTGATGACTCGTAACACCACGATGACTGATCCACGTCCGTGAAACAACGCATCTTACTGGGCACATACTCGAAAAGGATAGATTTACTCTAGACTTTACGCAGGTGTTCACATAATATCTTGGTGAAGGTCTGCTTTTCCCCTAGCAGGATCTTTGGCGTGGATTGGTTCTTTCATACTACGCAAATACATATCACTTCGCAAAAGGATTATATATTCAAAACAACAACCTAATTGTTCTCATATCGATATCATTTCTAAAAAGCTCATCAATTAATGTTTTAATTAAGTGAATATTTACGATTTAGCTTGATCGTGTGACCAACAACCTTCACATGGCGATATAGACGATCTGGAAACGTCGTGACTCCATAAGTACTACCTAGTAGGTTGTTAGTTGTAAACTGCCTCATCCTATAACCAACAGCGATCATTCTAGCAGAACCATCGTGAATCCAATTCCGAAAATAGAACTCGTGAATATCGAAACGATAAGTCGTCAATCGTTTTTGATCCATTGATCTTCTCAAGGCCACCTCTGTCAATCCCAAGGCATAATTCAAGCAAATGTGCTAACATCGCGAGCAAAGTAGGCTTGCGAACATCAAGATCCTCAAGATCTCCCTATATTCCGACGATAGAACGAAGGTCTGGGGTCAGGTTGGCTAGGAGTAGTTGTAGAAAGTAAGAATGTTATGAGGGGTTCGTTATTAAGACACGACAATATAGTCTAACCTTTTGACATGGGTAATGTATAGGATGATTTCATTGGACGAAGCTTCGGGATGGCGATCTTGCGGTTTTGCAGTGTCAGAATACCCAGGCTCAGGAGGCAAACGGTCAGAGCACAATGCCCAGCCGGAAATGGTTTCTTAGCGTGATAGCAGCCCCTGTCTGCCATCCCATCAAGTCTAGATATTGCTATGATAAAGCTACGTATTGGAGCAGTGTGAAACAATACCCAAGAGATTTAACAAGATAAGCTCGTCTCTTGACAGTTACCCCAGATGGCACCATCCCAAGTCTGCTTTCTTTTTGTACAAGCGGCATGGTCTGGAGACAGAGCCGCCAACACGGCATCCGAGAGGATCAGGAGGCTTGGCGTTATCACCTCAGCAGCTCGGTGTTGCTCCGTCTTTTGCAGACGTACGCGGCATCTCATGCTAGCCGTCTTTTCGCAGCGGAGTACCGGCTGCCAAGCTGTGTGGGGTTTCAATAATCGAGTCAGAGTGGTGAAGCCATTATGAAGCCATTGTTAGGTAGAAAGAAGATATGCCATAAGGATTGGGAGGATATTGGTGTGATCGCCATCTCCCAGAAGGAAGATATAATGTGCCCATTTCCCAGGTAAAATATCCAATACACTCTTTCTCATCCAGGCAGATTGCTAGACATCCCTCGTTCACTATTTCGTACTTAATTTTTGAGCTGCGCTCCTTTGATTCTCATTCTCTCATTAATATCCCCGTTTGAAACGGTACATTTTTTGTAATTTACCTATTTTATTTACGAAGTCAAGATGAAGTTCACGTCAGGCCCCCTTTTCGCTACTTTGGCGTTGACCGCCTACCTTCCCAGCATCCTTGCTGCAGAAGGATTTGCCCCGAGCCAGCGCTCCATCGCCGTCTTCAGGCGTGGCGAGTTGGCTAACAATGCTACCGCCGCTGCCAACGGTACCGAGGTCGCTGATGCCGGTAAAGCCGAAGAGAACAAGGATGGAGAGAACGTTGACGAGAATGCCGAGGAGCAGCAGAATGCTGAGGAGCAACAAAAGGCTGAGGAGCAACAGAAGGCTGAGGAGGAGCAGAAACAAAATGAGAACCAGAACAACAACAAAAACAACAACAACAAGGATCTCCAGCAGGAGCTCGGCAATCTCGAGAACCTCAATGGAATCAACATTGACCCTAACAACCTAGAGGGCAGTCTCCAACAAAACATTGGGAACCTCATGCTCGGCCTCGGTATCTGCAACTTCAACATCGGTAGCATCGGTAACATCGGTGTTGGCAACCAGATTCAGCTCCTCCTCCAACTTCAACAGCTCCAGCAACTCCAGCAGCTCGGCCTCGTCAACTCTTTCTCCATTCAGCAACTCCTGCAACAGGAGCTTCTCCTCGGCCAGTTCAACCTCAGTAAGTACCCCCTTGGCGCTGAGCTCTCTCACTAAAGAGTTTTACTAACGATATCTACTTAGACATCTTCAAGCGAACCATCAGCGCAACCATCAAGCAGGCCGCTCGTGCGAACAAGCGCACTGTCATGACCAAGAGGGAGTGCAAGGCCAAGGGCAAGGGTAACTAAGATACCATGAGTCCAAGACACTCATCATTGTGAGGGATCGTCGGGTAGTATATGTCGAGTATATGTTGAATATACTCCAGGGATAATAGGTCATCATTAGGAGTTTGTCGAGGACTGCAATTTGCAGTCTGCTGGTCATTGTAATCTAGGCATACCTACCAATGAAAGCTCTTCCGCACTGGGGGCAGCACAGGTAGAAAAATCAACGGGTCATCTTGTCAACAATACCTAGTCTTGAAATGATTTTCTCTTTTGGGATAATGTAATGACCGTGCTTTCTCGATGTGACTCTTTGTTAGGATGGTCTTAAGGTTGAGATGAAGCTATGACATTGACTTAACAGTTACATCGTCTTCTAAGATACCTCCACTTATTAGACTAAGCGAGATGCATGCTAGTTGCGTGCCCTGTGGGTTACCTGTAATGAGGTTAGATCGATTTGTTTCTAAGTCTAGAGGAAACAAGTTGCGATGGAGTCTATTTCGCGCAAACTTACCTACCTACCTACCTACCTACCTACCTACCTACAGATGTGAATCATCTACCCGCAGTGTTAATCATAGTACCTCATTCTCTTACCGCCATAAGGGTCACTGCATGATGACTCGGATAGCCACATCTAGTAACAGATCAAGTGAGACCAACAAACAAGTTTGTTTAAGCCGAATATGATCGGACGAACTCAGATTCTATTGGAATATCACGCTCGGATGCATCGACTTCCAGAGTGACTATAGGTAGGGACGACTTAAGCTTATCGACGATACTCAATCAAGGAATATAGTCATGCCCAAGGTCTGTGTGTGTCGCATCTGTAACACATCCGATATCTAGGAACGGCAATTTGGGGTACATGCGAAACCCCGGGTTGGCAATCGGATGGATCCAGTCTAGGCTTTGCTAGTTGCCGTGCTGGGAGATCTCTCAAAAGTGACAGAGACCCTTGTTGATCCGGGGTCCGGTTGAGTATTGGAAGCCGTCAAAATGAGGAATAAGACGACATGATTGGCTGCTTAGCCTATTCACTATTGTAGAGATGACAGAAAGGGCCGTGCTGAGATCATATCCCTTCCGAATATCTGAGCGGATGATGTGTAGGAGATCCTGAATATCCTTAATAATTGAGCTGAAAGATGGGAGAAAATCTTTGTTTACGGGTCTGTCGAATTCAAGAACCCGAACCCATTTCCACCTACGTAATGGGCGTTGCCGATTAGCCGTCGTCTTCCGGGGGCTTGATATCTTGCATTTGACCCCTGTACAGTTAAGACTTTGCCAAGAGGTAGACGGCGCTTTGGCCACAAAGACCTCTCAAATTCAACTCTATGGCGACATAATTAGATAGTGCCTATACTAAGTGTACCTGGTAGTTATAGTCTATGTTCAGAATGTGCCGCGTAGGCGTGGTTGGGAGGTCAGATCATGTTAGTCATTATAGGAAACGTCTCTTCTTCTTCCTATGCCATTAGGTTATGCCATATCCCGTTTGGTGGCACGAATAAACGCTACAAAACAGCATGGCAACCCCGGACGGCGATCAAGCGAGTCGATAGACTAGCCTGATGTAACAAAGCCAAAGAGGCACATAACGTACCATGGAAACTCCCATAGCAAGTAAGGTATATCCTGAGATATAGTACATGCCAGGCTCTGGCATAGTCAGATCCCGTTCCACTAACGTTATTTAGACTACTACAACCCTTGAGATGAGCTTTTGATCACCGCTATGGCCTCGGGCCAAAGGTCTTCCGTGCGTGATCAGTGCCACCCTGATAGCTTACCCCGTTCTAGGGACGGCAGAGACTGGCATGAGATGAGCCGCGATGGGGCCTTTTTGGTCCCTTTGCCTCTTTTCTTGGTACTCTACCGTGCAGCGGTGCATCCAGGGGTCCTCAGCTATTGGCGTTTGCCTCCGCGCGAGGTCATAGTCACTAGGTCGTCGCCATGGATATCTCTGCCAAGATATTCCAGCCTGAGGTTAAGCATCTCCCTTCCCGATATGCCCCTGGACACGGCTCGTTTTACCATCTAGACATCCGCCTAATGGTACCTACCTCCTGACACGCACCGGATCTCTCCTTCAACCACGTTCCGGATTATTATTGTCCTCTGAAAATCTTGGCGTTGTTTCTAGGACTCATGCCATCCGATCAATATGTCTTGCCATTCGATATATAAGATGAGGTTCACTTCGTCAAATATGTCTCTTTTTTTTAACCATTCCACTCACCAATCCAAAGACATCTTCAGATCTTCCAACCCATTCTTTCATTCATTTCTACAGAGGTAAGCTCCTGGCTTCTATCTACAGCCTCACCTGACAATCTCAGCTAACATTGAAACAGCTGTGCTCGTTGTTCGCTTCACTCTTTACATATATACACTCATTAGAACTGTCGAGGTAAGCTGAACAGTGGCAACTGGACCCGAACCAGTACCATCATCAACAGCATCACTAACTGATTCACATAGCTGTGCTCATATTATATTCTAATCTTTTAATTAATTACCACTCTCTCTACACCAATTTTCAAAATGAAGGCCTCTACCATCTTCGTCAGCGCTCTTGCCGCTTTCGCCACTGCTGCCCCTACCAGCACTATCCCTGAGAAGCGTGTCAACCTTGACCTTGGCTCTTTCAACAACTTCGGCTTCAACAACCAGGACCTCCAGTACCTGCTCGCCATCAACGGCTTCAACCTCCAGGCCTTTGCCCAGCTTTCCGCCTTCAACAACCTCAACATCGGTGGCTTCCAGAACCTGTTCGTCGGCAACAACTTCGACATCAACGCCCTTCTCCAGCTCCAGCAGATTGCTCTCCTCTCTCAGCTCGGTGGTCTCGGTGTCTTCGGCAACTTCGACCTCAGCGCTCTTCAGCTCAACGTTTTCGACCTTGGTCTCCTTGGCGGCATCGGCGGCTTCGATGTCTCTTCTCTCATCCAACAGAGCCTTGTTCCTCAGCTTCAAACTGTCATCCAACAGACCCGTGAGTAATCCCACTGATCCACAGAAACATCTCCGAAGCTAACCCACATCATAGAAATAAACACTGTTGTCCTATAAACGATCCTATGATCTACCGGCACACATTTCATTCCAAGGCTACTGTTTAATGGAGTGAGTATGTCTACCACACAAGGACACGACTTAATACGGGGATGATTGAGAAAAGGGGCAGATTGGGACATATCCCTGTATTTTTTATTTCTATATGGACTGCCGTTGTTTCCTCGCCGGCCAGATAATAATTCGGATTCATTGGGGCTCGTCTCGATAATTCTACCTACAGATGCTTTAAGCCGGTTGCGGGTCTTCGGTCAGAGTGGAAGGGGGGAACACAAGCATAGCAACGGGTAGAGTGAATGAGAATGGGATTCATTGGGTTTTCTGGAGATGATTCTTATCAAATTTACCTCTCATTGGGATAATTCTATTGGTCTTAAACTACTACTTCGCGTCTTCTTCCATCTTTTTGTGACTTTTACTTTCATTTCTGATAATCGCTAGACTTTCCTACTAACATTCTATTAGCATTCAAACTCATGGGAGTATTAAAATAGTTTGAACATGCTAAGTGATAGGAATGAATTTTGCCCGCGTTTGATCGCTTGGTTGTGAAACTTCGGATACGCACATCAGACATAAAACAACAAACTCTTAATCCAACTAGAGATATCATGCGATGCGCATGTCAAAATCTGATGATAACACAAGTTATTGATCCATTAGGATTTTAATATTATTTCAAGTTCTGCTGCTTTTCTCTTACGCAAGACTTTATAAAGGATTAGTGACTATTAGAACCAGCGACAAACGTAGAACAGGGGTGTCCATTTTAGGGCTAATTGAAATCGGGAGCTAGATGTTTAGTTAATGGGGCTACCCGATGTAGTGGGGTTGTTGACCCTAACCGCCTCCGGGTTGTCGGGACAGGTACCTGGCTAGTGCTAGAGAAGTTTGTATTCGACCTATGTCTACAATTATCTGTTGCATCGATTGTGTAGGTACAAACCACATATGTAGCTTATGCAGTTTCAATCAAGATAATAACACATAGAAAATTGAACACTCGTTCGTGTCTCTATGAAGATTATTATCGTTTAATTCTGCATCTCACCCTCACAACTTCCCTATCATTCTAGATAACGGCTGTCGCATACTATCCATCTTATCATGGAAAATCTCATCAAATCATCCATACGGGTACAGCGTCAAATAGATAATGTCGAGGACCTCAGCAAATCGTTTCCCGACCTAGAGGCGTTAGCCTTGTCCAACCCATCATCGATCACAGATGAGGACAAGCGACGTGTCCTCGACTTCCCGGAGTCCGAGATGCAAGCCACAAACATCGCAGCCACCACCTCGCTATCGAAAAAGGCGCTGCTGCAGCAGGCGGCGGAATTGCCAGATCTTCTCACCCAGGCCGAAGTGGATCTACTGAAGAACCGCTACTGGCTCGATCTCAGCCGGGCTGAATCGGGGGCTCGTTCGAAGGCTGGAGCGGCACTAGTCGCCGTCTCCCAGGCACACTTCGATGATATCACATCACGGCTAAGCAAGATGCGAGAACCGCTGTACGAGGAGAATGAAGGCCAGGCTATCGCGAACGCCGAGGACCAAGCCTTGCAGCGGCTAATCGCATTCGCGATGGGGCCGCAAGATGCTGCACAGGCCGTACTTGCTAAGGCGAGACCATGGGTGAGGAAGCTATGGGATGAGATAAAAGATGAGCCCCAGAGAAGGTGGGGTTACCCCGTCTTCGTCGAGCCGGGCTACGAGCAGATGGATGATTACCTTTCCCGCAGAGACGCGGTGCTGTTCCATGCCAGAGGAGCGATTTGCTGTGGGGATACGATGGGTGCGAGATGGAAGCTGCAAAAAATGGATTGGCCTGTCGTCGGAAAGAAGAGGGCTGAGACAACTGAGGCTTTGGAGGCCAGATTCGATTCGTTGAGGGAATCATTTAAGTCCGTTGTCGATCGTGCGCCCAAAAAGCAAAGAGTCAGCCACGAGACGGAAACGCGGAATGGCGGGCTGGAAGATGGTATACTTGATAATGTATTCTTGGTCATTGACCGGGAATCAATCGACACTGTCATGTCGGATACGGGCTTTGTGGATGACATGTGGGTTTGGGCTATAGATCCGGACTTTGAAAATGCCACGAAGGAGGGAGCTCAGGAAGAATTCAGGGGATATATGCGGGTCCGTCTTCAACAGCTAGTCAATAACTTCTTTGAGCAACGGTATTTCCACGCCGAGGAGCAGCCATTGTCTAGCTTATGGAAAGCCGCTACGACAAGTAAGAATAGGGCGTTTGTGTCTGTTAAAGAAGATGAGGCTGATCTCTGGACTGGTAATAGAAGTATTGGGAGTGGCTTGAGACCATGAAAAATGGGCGAAATGAGTTATTATTTGTTCTAGCAGATATCATATCCATGGGTGCCGTTGACGAAATACTAATTCGATGAAGCTGTCAACAATGTGCTGTACAAACTTAAGATTAAAAATCACGTTCTAATGAGCCACAAGGAAATCATGAATGGCGTACGAATACTGCTGGGAAGGTTGGGAAGGTTCGAGGGACATGGTGGGGGTATTCAGGAACCCCACCACCCCGAAAACCAGGGCTTATCTAGATCTTTTTCAACAATACAACATTTGATCATTCTATCCCCTCCATCTGTTTTGGCATAATATACGGAATGATAAAATATCATCGATATTTCAATATTATCTACATATAATATTGCCTCTCAGTATGAAAGTTCATTAAAAATGCAACTCATTCTGTATTCGGTTTCTCATCCTCCCCACAGCTGCTAAGACGTCGAGAGCTAATTGTTGGTTGGGATGGCCATTCTGTGCTAGCGGCGTGTAAGTGTTCACAAGGCTATTCAACCGACTGGTTACATAACGCTGCACGAAATTCGTGACTCGGATCTCCCACTGCGGTTGGAACTCATCAATGAGATCTGCGAGCCGTTCTGGTCGATTTGGAAATGTCTATCATAATCACATACATCAGAACCATTCAATCAAAGTTAGGGAATTCGGGATGAGGTGCATAAACGTACCCTACCATATAAGTCGTCAAACTGTGCTAGAGCTTCCCGTCTACCATCAAAGACCTGCTGTCTATTTGACTGGATGGCCCTAAGATAGTTCATGACGCCAAAGACGGCTCTTAACGCCGAGAATGCCGCCTGCGCTGTCCCTTGGCTCGGTAGTCGCATCCATGCATCCCACTGATCATCAGATGTCGGGAGACCTTGAGTTGTGTACATGCGTCCCTTGAGGATCTATCCAGGTATATCAGAATCAGATACCACATTATCTCTGGGATAAAATTCCCCGATTTCTCAATTTCGAATTGAAAAGCAGCTTACATTCAAGTTTCTTTCTAAATTGACCATCGGCGACGGGTTATTAGTAGACCCCATCGCATCTGCTACGTCGCCGGCGGCCGACCCTGGTGGAGGATTTGGCTCAACGTTTTGTGGTACCCAGGTACGATAATCGGCAGCAAAGTAATTTAATAGGTTGGTGAAATCGAACAGAGGCCGTTGGGTTCGATACGTGCCACCTTGACCATCGGCTAGATCAATCTCTCCTGAGTAATAAGAGGGGGAAGATGTCAGCAAAACAAGTTCGAATCATGTCCAGATTTACTAAAGCATTTACAACTTACCACTTTGGGCAAAGTTGGCAAAATTGGTCGGAAAAATGGTCCGGTCATCTGGATGATCAGAGTCGATGCCGTCCCAGTTTAGACCCTGAACGCCATTCGCTGTGATGGACGTGTCTTCACAGTCGCCGGGATTCAGGAGAGAATAACGTTCGTTCCGCCCTGTATACGATCAGCCGCAAGAACCATATTATGGGAGAGAGAAGAGGATCAGAAAAAGTTGGAGTTAGAGGGAACTTGATTATTACCTGTTTCATGATCTAGTGCATCACCATTATCTCCCGCTGGGTAGGTTGGTGTGACGAATTCGAACGCGTTTGTATTTCCATTCGGGTTCTCTGGATACTCATAAATACGGTAAGTTTCTGAGCTTCCGGAACTTGGACCGGCGCGTGGCTCTATTTTTGCAAACTTTTGCTTCTCTCGCTCACTCAGTGGCTCTAGATACTCGCGCTTGAATTTGAACGGCGGACTAGGTTCTTCGAGGCTTGTATCATTGGCACTGATGTTATAGAAACAGACAAGCTGGCCTGTGTAAGAACCACCAGAGCATGATATAAAGTCACTGATACCAAATACGGGGTAGCCACTGATATGTGGTACTTCTCGGGTCGATGGCTCGTCTCCGCCAGACAGTACGACGCGCGGATTCGGCTGGCTTCCGATCCCGTGAGTAACGCCATCATCCCAACCGTCCATTACTGTACCGACCTGAATTACATCGGAAGAGCCTTGCTGGGGCGCGTCAAGGATGCCAGCTTCTCCGGTCCCCGTATTGCCAATCACACGAATAGCATGCGGAGTTCGAGAAGTGAATCGAGCGCCGGCATCTTGGAGAGAGGTCTGGTACCCGAATATCTTCATATTCATGGTCGTTTCTACGTTCAGGTTTATCGCGAAGACGGTATTGAAGTCCGCTGTATCTGTCTTAACGAATCCGTCGGCTGCATCGCTAATGGTATCCCCGAGGATATCACCGTCGAATGTGGCGAGGCCGGGCGGTGCGTGTGTTTTCATGGTCTTCGACGAACCCGCTTCGAAGCTCACCGCAAATTTACCATCAATCTCACCAGATCCGATGATAGAAATCTCCGGGTTCAGTTCCGGCGAGAACGACACGATACCGGGGTGGGATGCTTGAAACTTTGTGATTGGGCTAGGGAACAAGTTTCTTTGAGCACCGGCGCCGCTGTTGATGTCCAAGATACCCTTGCCATCAAACTCGAGTTGTCCGGACATATAAATATCGGAATCAAAGTAGCCGTAAGCTTCCTCTAGAGCGAAAGGCTGTATAGTTCCCACCAGAGTAAACCCAAATCTCATGGTGTTTCGTATAGACCCAGCAAGATTTACCTTTAGGAACCCATCCGGACCGTTACAACCCTTATCGGATCCATCATCTCCAAGGATAAGGGTGTTGAAGTGATCTGTATTCAGTTTGGCCGGCGTATCTGGGAATTGGCCTCGAATCTGATCAAGGATAGTCTTCCAGACAGAGCTGATTTTACTCCAGAATCTGGGTTCCACACCCCGTTTCTGATGTGCGGCTTGGACGACATCATGATAATATTTATGATTATCAGAATAGTCAACTCGAAAGTAAATATCTCCCACGTCTCGCCTTACATTCGAGAAGTTGTAACTGTATTCTAGCTCCCAGACTTTAGCGTTGGGTGGGACTCGCTTGCTGAGATGACTTGGGATAGTAAGATTGGACTCTCTTACTGAGTGCGCAACTGACCATTGAGCGAAACCCATATCATCTGGCATACGAAGGATAGTCCCCTTTATACCGTTCTCATGCATGGCATCACAGTTATTATCAACAGAATCGACCATGCAAACGAAATGAGCCACTTGTGGCTCTTGGCCGTCATGGACTCCACGGCTAATAAATTCCACGTGTGAACCATCACGACGGTTTAGGCTGTTCACTGCCGAAGGCGGTCCATCTATAACGACGAAGAAGAAAGCGTTTGGATTCGGGTTTTCACCGACTAGTGACGGATTGTAATTGAGATTTTGTTGATCGAATGCTGGCAGGTAGCCGGTCGGCGGCAACGTAGGAAATAAGTTGTCAAGAGATGCCGGGAGGAAAGGGTTTAGATCTTTGGGTGTGTTGCAGCACAGTACCTTTTGGCGATGGTTGAAAATCTCGCCGGTGCAGGACGATTGGTCTTTCCCGAAAACATCCAAGCCGACCTCAACGTCCGTCGCTGAGCACTCGTTATCGTCGCAGGTACCCTTGCCAACCCAATGACAGTTTTCGAATGGGTAAGGGCAACAGAAATGCTGATCACAGCTTGAGAAAAAGCTATATTTCTTCCGCGTGCTAACAGAATACTGCCGATCGGATGGACAGTCGCTACAGTCATCCAGCCAACCACACTTGTCGGTGTAGCTCGACCAGGTGTTACTCACGCAACAGAAAGCCTGTTGTCCAGGCCTTAAACAGCTTTCACTGCCGTGGCGCGAGTGTGCAAGCGTGACCTCGCCTTCGTGGCATTGGCCATGGCACGACCCAGATCCTCGCCATTCGCACTGCTGGGGCATGGCATCTGTTGGACATAATATATACTTGGATTTTTTACCCCCGCAAGTATCCGGGAACTTGCCGTTGGGGGCAGTCGAAAACCCGCTGGGCGGGTTATAGGGTTCGTTTTCACAGTCGCTCACTTTGCAAGCCTGCCCATTTACCGAAGACCAGTGATCACCGTCTGACACTGCTGTACGCTTGAGATTTTCTGCGAAAGATGGAAGCGGCTCGCCGATCAAACCCTCGAGTGCGGAGAATTCGTCATCGTCTTGATCTACACTCCAGATCATGACACCACCTAAACCTACCTCGTTGGCCCAGTCGACCTTTTGTTTGAGGGTCTTAGCATCATCGTAACTGATCCATTGGTCGTTCTTGTCGCCGTATACTATGTAATTGGCTGCGGCATCTTCATCATAGACGACTTTGGGTTTGTGTTCACTGATGATATCCTGAATCTCGAAGTACGCGAGCGTCCCTGCGGATTTGGTGCATGAGCCCTCGTCCGCTGGGCCCTTGAACTGACAGCCGGGTGTACTGCATTTGCTGTCCTTGAGCTGAAAAGACCGGCCGTAAAACCCAATTCCAAGAACGACCTTCCCGGGAGGTACGTTATTTCGCCAAAGTAGGTCTGCCGCCAGCTTAATCTCCGTCAAATTTGTATGGCTCTGCACAATTGACCCGATGGGATTGTGCTCGTCCCATACTCCCTATGGAAAAATTAGCAATAACCATCATATCTCTTGGCGTCACTTACATGAAGGTCGTAGGACATCATGTTTGCCCAGTCTGCATATTCAAGGAGACCTGGAACATCGAACCTTCATCACGTAATGTTAGCGATGCTCGGTTATTTCTCCTCTTTAAACACTCCCTAAAACATACCATCTTAAATACCAATATGATGTTGGAATTGTGAAGGTTAACCCATAGTCTCCCCTCGCGGATGCTTGGAAAGTCTTTCGAAGCGTCTCGAGAAGCTTGACGAAGTTGGCGATATCATCTTCTTCTAAACCACCTCGGTCTGGAGCACCTGGATATTCCCAATCGAGATCAACTCCATCAAACCCATAGCGTATCATAAAGCCGACTAAGTTATCAGCGAACTTCTGACGCTTACTGGCGTCGGCGGCGATTTCGGGGAATAGGGGTTGTGTCGCAGTCTCGTTATCCGAGAAGGTCCATCCGCCAATGGAGACGAAGACTTCAAGCTGCGAGTTACGAGATTTCAAATTCTTAATATCAGTTGTCTGCGCAAACAGCCCCGCCGGTGTCTCAGAGTCCATCGCAGTGACCTGAAGCGAGTCTGGGTCGATACTAGAGGGAAGTTAGAAGAGGAATATCGACTCTGATCTGATGGTTCTTACTATGCGAATGCAAAATTCACATGCGTCAAGCCCTCTGTTGGAATAGCACTCGGCGGAAATTCTCGGCACTCCCTTCTAGCGGACCATGCTTCATAGTATCCTATGATTCTGTTGTTTAGGACAGTGATTCCACTCCCTCCGGGTGGGACAGGAGGATCCACGACGCAGTTAGACTGGCAGCCCTCTTGACAGAACTCGGGTGTACTGCCACAGAACCCATATTCACTACAGCATACATTCAACGGGCACTTCTTGTCTGGTTTAAGTTTAAGCGAGGGATATAGTGTTATTCCGTTAAAGGTGAACTCACCTGGGGGATCGGCATACTGCCCGCATTCGGGTTTTGCATCACACTGGGAATCACAATCATCTCCGCAAAATGTTGGGCCAAAGCCGCAAACGCCGGTATCACCGCCAAAGAAAGAGCCACAGCATGCGTAGGTTTTGCACGGTGTGCCTTTCTTACAAGAATAGTTGCCTCCGTCTCTCTTCGCGATCTGAGTCACATTGCGCAAAGCGTTTACCTCGGCCTCTGTGTCGATGGCGAGTACCTCACTCCTCGTAAGGATTCTTGGTTCACCGAAGTCGTGCTCATTTATATAGTTCTTTTGGATAACGTAGTACAAGAAGACAGAGAGTGAAAGTATCATCAGGGTTGACCTGACCTTGCCGTGGAGTGCCATATGGAAAGGTAAGGGTTAAGGAAGTCTGAGTTGATACAAGAGCCAGGATTGAAAATGCGCAAGACTTGGAACCAAACTGACGGCTGATTCCCATGAGCGTCGGGTTGTTGGAGAAACTTGTAAGGAACAAGAGGCGTTGATGATCTGACCAGGCTACACTGTAGGTGATCCAGCATCGACCAACACCCTCTTACCGGGCGTCAAGATTACATGCTACAGGCAATTCTAGACCTTGATTTTAAGATGAGTATCTCTCGCTTATTCTGGTGGCGGTCATTTACCAAAGCCTTAATATATTTTTGCCCAATGGAAGCAATGAAATCCTACACCGGGCTTGAGCAACGGTTTCTATACCACTACGCTGACCAACCAGTTCTTGGGATACTTTCTCGCGATATCAATCATACCTCTTGGCCCTTTGCGGCTGACCACCCACCTGCAGGATCTACGATCGCATGATCCTGTATAGCTATAGATACTGTGTAACATGTGTAACTAAATCCCCGCCCTTCTTATTTCTAGGGGTTTGGTTAGTAGTTTCCGAGGACTTCCTGATGATAACCTCGTCGGTATAATCCATCCTCTTCAATATCGATCATCATGTCTTCGCGGCCCCTAACTTTCCTCTACGCAAGCAGTTGTCTACTTCTAGGGACTACACATGGACAGGTTTTCGTTGGGACTAATCGTTCAGAAACCGAGTTTCCATATTTGATACAACCGCCTGATGGTATATCAGGTAATTGCAAGTAGGTACCCATCACCCTATCAAGCGATAGCCATGATTCTAAGGAGTTCTAGCTCGACGTTTGCGTCTGAGGTTACCTGCGACGTGAACCTCCCCGTCATTGCCTCTGGAGGGTACTTCCCTAGCAATGATGACTTGACTAATCTATGTAACCTGGACTGTCTTCGATCGCTCGAGTCTTTCCGCAGCACTCAAGAGCAATCATGTGCAGCAGATGTGATGGTCGTTTCAGGCTTCACCTATAATGTGACTACCACAACGGATACTTTACTATGGACCTATAACTTCACCTGCCGTCGCGACCCGACCTCGGGAGACTTCTGTGCGCCTATATTTGATGCATGGGCCAATGGAGATACGTCGAAAGATTCGTGTTCGGACTGTATTCTCGGGGTCTACCAAGTACAGCTTAGCAATTTCTTGGGATATGATGACAATCATGCGTCCGCCTTTTCCTCCTTGACGGTATCATGCCAAGCTACCGGCTACCCGTTGACGTCTCCGCCGCCAAACTACATCACGGAGACGGGCACTCCAACAACAACCACTGTAGCATCGCCAACGGCTTCGAAAGCGTGCGCTAGCACTTATACCGTGCAGGACGGAGACGACTGTCACTCGATTAGTCAAACGGAAGGCATTTCGACAAGCGAGATGCTATATCTCAACAATCTACAAGCCGGGTGCACGGATTTCCCCGGACCAGGTACTTCGCTATGCATGCCACACACATGCGAAGTCTACACCGTCCAACCCAATGACACATGCTGGGGCATAGTCGAATCCCATGACTACTCTTTCACGATATCACAACTAGTATCATGGAACATCGACATCAGCAGGGGCTGCGACAACCTCGAACTCCTCAGCGGCATCCAAATCTGCGTAAGCTACCCGGGCTCCATCCCAGAAATAACCGCCACGGCGCCCGCATCGACAGCCACCCTAGCCCCTATCCCAACCGACGTCGTCGACGGCACAAACACGCGGTGCGGGAAGTACTACCGTGTGCGCGCAGGCGACATCTGCGAGAGCGTAACCCAAATCGCCGGGATCTCGCTGGCGGACTTCTACTTCCTCAACCCGGAGGTCAACAGCACGACGTGCGCCAACCTTCTCCTCGGGTACAGCTACTGCGTCCAGGCCGTCGGCGACATCGCCACGTACCCCGGGTACGGCGGTTCGCCTACCAACCCATGTGTAGGCGGCACCAAGGCCCCCGACACGAGCTGCTATGCTACGACGTACGCGACGGCGGACCCGTGGACATTTCCCGTCGTGAATACGACTTCGGGGGGTGCGACGACGAGTAATTATACTTCCTTGCCGGTGGAGACGGTGGCGCCGTTCCCGACTTCGGGACATGCGAATCCGACGCCTGTGCCCCATCAGAGTGGGATGGTGGATGGGTGTGCGAGGTTTTATTATGTTGTTGGTATGTTGTCCCTGTGTCTACTACGCACTTAACTACCTAGGTAAGTATACACTTGCATCGTGTGGATGAGCTGACCAGTGGCGTCGGACGCGTTAGCAAATGACGGCTGTCTGGACATCGCGAACCGCTGGGGGGTCCCGTTGGATACCCTCTATGCTTGGAACCCTGACCTCCATACGGACTGTACTGGATTGTAAGATCTCGTGACTCTGGTGATTGTAAATTGAGTTTTGTGTTAATGTTTGTGTAGACAGCTTGGTACTTATATCTGTGTTGGGCTTGGTGATGGGGCTGGCTCTTCTGTGGTCACGGCGACGCCTACGTGAACGGGTTGTTCTAGATGCCTTAGGTAGGTATCTGATAGGTAAGTTTATGGTGAATGGAACTTGTTATATATAAATAATAATATAAAATGTTCTTCTTAACTGTCCGCGGATGTTGGATGTGAGGTCACTGTATTATATAATCGGACTTTGCGGCCTTCGATCTGAAAATCATCCTCTTTGGGTAATATGATGTTTCCCGAATCTTGTCTCATTCTGGGATTATCGGGGGTAAACGATTGGTGTTGAGAGAAATTTTCAAACGCTCCAGAGTCCGGGCATAAATCCTTCATAAGAACGTTATAAAATAAATTGAATTGACGGTTTATGAAATGGGTCACCGTCGTTCGTATCACTCTAATCTCACCCAATCCAACAGCTCGGGGATATGTAGATGAAGTAAGCGTCGATTCATACCCCCATCCCCATCCCCGTTCCCGTCCCCGTCATCGAGTGGCGTGTTTGATCACTGCTGCAGCTTGCCTCATTGCTCTAATAAATAGGAAACTCTCTTAATATATCATATAGTAATAATACCACATGAAGCAAGCTGCTAGGCTCTGTCTGTCCAGTATCCAGGTAGACAGATCAACGGTTTCGGGGAGTCTAGAGGCTTTTCACTATCACTGCATTGCCAATCGTCGTGCCTAATACTCCTTATCCTCTCTTTTCTGGGTGCCCAACGCACACTATTGAATTAGTTGCGCTGTCAGCACCCGTTACACAGTCATCCGGAATCCTAATTCGACGGTCCGCGCCCAGTAGAAAATCTCAACCGGAGTTACAGACCGGGCGAGCGTCATAGGAGCAATGAGAGAATTCCTGGAACGTGTTCGCGCATACATACATCACAAACATACAAGACAGAAAGGTGGAAACCGGTCAGCTATTCTCGACCTACCCATGGCCTTTGTTTCGTGGGGGTTGTTGGAAAGGTAGGTAGGACAGCTTGAGATGTATCCGGTATGTATCGAAGTCGAGCGAAAATGATCTACGAAAGCCAAGGAAAATGGGAATCCCGAGATGTTTTCATAAACTTGAATTGCCGTACCTGCATGTTCATGATCGCTTATGAAGTTATGATCGCTCACGATCGCTCCAACTAACTGTCCGAGGGAATTTCGTTTCGTCTTGTATGAGTGCAAGGGAAAAGAGGCTGCTTATTAGATATTTATTGATGGGTTGGATGAGAACTGAGTACGGATACTGCAGTGTCAGATCTCAGCCACGGTGCGGACGCGTCCTCTCTCTTACTCGGCTAGGGTGTGCCGCTGCTTTGCATAGAGTATACAGAGATCACACACGAAGCGTCATTTTCTTGAATAGTAGAACACGATATCGACCATGATGTTGCTGAAGATAAGTCATAGGACCATCTCCTTGCCAATAGGGATTTCTTCGAATTCCGAAGAGATTTAAAAAGTCTCGGCACGAATATTCGAATAATTCGCTTTCGCCGCCCCGTATCCGGCTGTACAGTGCATGATAGAGGGGAAATCCTTAATTAGACACAGTAAGATCCCACGCTACCATGGATTTCTACAGACGCTATTAGTCCATCCTTAGGGCTAGGTACGGTAATAAGTACCTCCTAGACATATTCGGAACAATAAGCCCTTACGATCTCCAGAGGGTGGGACCCCCGTGTAAGACGTGTCGCTCAAAACGAACTGGTGCTGGTGCTGGCGCTCTCGTTTTTACCTCTTTTACATGCTACAGCGTCGGGCAGGTCGGGGCAGTGCAAGTCTCTGTTGATCTCTCTCTGTTGGTCCATAATTGGTTACATGCACCTTTCGCTAGCCCTATGACGGGAGAGGCCAACTAAAGTCACAAACTCCTTGCGGATCTGAGTCTTGGCTCTTCTTGGTGGCTGGAACCTGCACATCTTGGCACAACACTACATCTTTCTTCTCGTCGTTGCACAACTCCGTCGGGTCCGTCGAGGACGCCCCAGTCCAATCCAGTCCAGTCCAGTCTTTCCCTCGTTATCACCACCGAAACAGCAAAACCCCGTCTCTCGTTTTTTCGAAATACACAGTCCAATACAGGCGGTGAGGTAAATAAATGAATTAATCCAAATCATAAACCTACGGTAAACCTTAGCGGAAAGTCGTCATAAGTTCGAAGAAGAAACACGGATCACGAAGCGGCTCCCTCAACCACAGCACCTCGCCATGCGGCGCTCTCACCTACTGCTCACCCTCATAGCGGGAGCCACAGCAGAGCCCATCGCGCAACCACTCTCGCGCGAACTCTCCTCATCCCTCACCCCCAAAGACACGACCACGATCACAGCACGAACCCTCGCCAACCCAAACCCCCCCACCGGACTCCATAAACGCGATGACGACCCCTACGAAGACTACAAAGACCACCTAAAACACATCCAAGAGCTACAAGAAGAAAAAGCCGAACAAGACGCCGAAAACGCAAAACACTCCAACGGCCCCCCGGGGCCTCCCGGCGGCACGATAGCGGGCGCCGTAATCGGCGTCGTAGTAGCGATCCTCATCGCGCTCTTACTCTGGTACTTCTTACGGATCCGGCCCCGGCGGAAGCAGCGACAGCAGCTCCAAAAAGCGCAGTACGCGAAAGAAGCCGATCTCGAGTCCGGGTACGAGATGACGCCGGCATCGAGCCACCAAGAGCAAGGGACGACACCTCCCGTGGGCGCGATCTCGAACCGCAGCTTACCGCAGTCCGAACACGTCCGCTGGGCGCCGACGCCGTACCCGCAGCGCGCGCCGTCCCAGCACACGGGGTCGTCGATGTCGGGGCTTGCGCTGCCGACGCCGGCGCTGACGTACTCGCCCTCGATGAGTTCCGCGGCGTCGCCGCCTTCGCCGCAGCACCTCCCACAACCGCAGCACCTCCCACAACAACAGCAGCAGATACAGCAGATACATATGCATGAGGAGGACCGGTATCCAAACGAGAAACCACCGGCGTACGACGCGATCGCCGCGCTGCAGTCGTCGGAGCCGCAGCCGGAGGCGTCGGCGTATCAGATGGGACAGGTGCCGATTGAGCCGGAGGAGGACCCGGTGATGTGCCATTTACCGCCTGCGGACATGGCGCCGAGGTATGGGGTTGTTAATGGGAGTGGGGAGCATATGCCGCGGTATTAGGGTGTGTGATTAGGGTGGAGGAGGAAGGGGGGGGAAGGGTTTGGTTGTAGCTAGGTATTATGTTTACGTGGTGTAGACAGAAGGAAGGAATGGAGGGATGGAGGAAAGGGGGAAAGGGGTCAAGTTCCTAAGGCTTCGCGAGCAGATATCCCGGAACATGTTCCTCTGAAGAAGGACTACGAAATTTTCACTCAGTCACTCAAGTTGGAGAGAGGATGGATGGATGGAAGGCTTTTGATTGGTTAAAAGCGTGCGAGATAAGAGGAATATCGATGATCTGGATTTCTTTTTTTGTGAAGAATAAGTTTTTTTTTTCTATGTTGGATGGACATGACATGACCTGAACAGGAAGAAAGAAAAAGCGACAGTTCTGTTCCCCTTATAGAATGCCTGTAGAAATCCTCGGATAGGGATGATAATAATAACGATGGATTTGGATCCCGTAAAAACTCCTTCTGTTTCCCAGATGTGTGTTTGTGTGTGTGTGTGTTCCCGAAAAATAAAAATAAAAAAAAGCCGAATATGAAATACATTGTTTGTCCTGAGACTTTGAACCGTATCCAGTAAATATTTGCTCGAACGAATAAGCCGGCCGGATCGAGAATTTGGCTCGCGAATAATGCTGCTGGCTGAATAAAACGTAGATATTGCTGTAGATCGTAGATGTAAATGTAGATGATCATGCTCATGGTGATACAACTTGCGTTAAAAGGGGAAGATTCTTCGTGAATGAAAACCTCGTCAACCGCGTCATTCGCATCGTGAACATCGTCAAAACATAGGTGGGGATTCCGATATGAGCTCAGGCGTTAGATAATTAAACTCATCTGTAAGGTGTACTTAACATTGTGATTTGAATTTATGTAGCGAGGGGATCGGTGCTGTCGATGTGATTCACCCACTCGTACACACGATGCATCCCGCGTCCGGGACCGGTGAGTCCGGCAAGGACAGAATCTTTGGGCGATGTCGAAGCCGCTCGATCTCGTCGCCGCACTCGGGGAGCTGAATCATAAAAAGCGGGCTCATCAACATAACCGCGGGTCGAGGCTCTTCTCGGGAGCATCCGTTCCGGGATTCGATTAGCTCGTGGACCATCGTATAAATCATCGTCTACGGTATGTCTCCGAGACAACATTGGAGTTTGCCCCAGGGGAACTTGAGGGATAGGAGGCGGACCCATGGCTCGCGGGGGAGCGGGGGGAGGAGGTATAGAAATTCCAAAGGAATGATGAGTTGGGCTGTTGTTTTGACGCTGTTCGAACCGGTCCGCGAGACGGCGTTCCATCGAGTTAGCACGAGGACCGACACCGCGTGCCCTATTTACTCCTGTAACGTAGTCCCCAATTACCGAATTTGCTCTATCGAACGGTGCTACTGGTGGTGGAGCGGGTGCTGGTGGCGCCACCACGGTTTGCGCTCGGCGTCTGTATTTATCACGTACGAAGGGGCCTGGATGACCTCCAATATCTTCCGGTTCCATATAATCATCTTCCGTATCCTCGTACTGAAGTCGTCGTGCAAGCTCCTCGTCCTGTTGTTCCTGTTGAAAGCGTCTGAGAAGCCTCTCATCCTCGAAGGGACTCGGTCGTGTTCGTAATCCGTTGCCAGGCGAGCGTCGCCTAGCATCCATGCCTGGTGCCATTGGCGGGGCACTCCTGAGATTGAGTCTCTCGCGGTCTATAACAGGTTCCGGGATCTGCATATGGTCGAGGTGATCTATCTCTGCGCCGTCGTAGTTAAACCAGGGGCATTCACAAGTCTTCCATTTTAGCCCACATATCATACAAAACTCGGCACCACAACGGCTAGATGTTCTTGTTAGATAGACACACACGGAAACGGATCATAATGAAAAGAAAACAATGGCATACCAAGTCATGTGGTTACAACCTTCCTTTAACTCAACCATATTCTTGCACCTAAAACAGCGCTGCCATCCCTCCTCCTTGGCTTGCTGCAAGAATTGGTTCATCTCTTCGTCCACGGGACACGGGCCGGAGCCGTGCCATCTATTGTTGCAGTCGCAGCAGACTCGGGTCTTGCAGTTGCCGCACTTGCCCATATTCCGACCGTTTGCATGTCGATGGATCTGGTCGGGCGTGATCCATTGCCCGCACTTCTTGCCCGGACAGTAGACGCGGTTCTGGGTGGAAAACTCGCGGAACTTCTGGTTCCATGTCTGCTTGAAGTCGTTGTCGAATAGGTCGTTGACGTGCTTCAGCGGAATACAGTCCGACGTGCAGCACCGAGGAGGCATCTGTGATGGGTCCTTGACCGAGAGCTTGAAGCTGCGCTTGAGGCACGACTTGCACATCCGGTGCCCGCACTTCAATTTGGCCATCTGCTTCGATGGGACGTCGTCGAAACATACGACGCACTCCAGCCTACGAAAAAAAGATAAATTAATTTTACATCCTTTCCCTCCCCCTCTCTTTCGAGGGGTTGGGTTGTACAGGTATACTTACGTCTTCGAGTGCTTATCGGGCGGTGATTGTAGTCCTGAACCCATGAGCCTATTCAGAAATGTTGAAGAACGTCTCGAGGAGGAACTCATACTCTGCGACGCTACGTGAGAACTGGGTGCGGTATGCGCCCGAGGAAGCGAAGGCTTCTCGGCGTATGCTGCATCAGACTCATAATACCTCCTCCGATGGTTTGGTCTGGCAGAGTTTCATAATTAGAACCGATAATCACTACCTAGATTTTTTCATAGTCGTAGTTACTAACCTCTTAGATGAGGAACTAGGCTCTCCTTCGTCGTACCGATCTCGGGATCGAAGTCGATAACTGCGTCTCATGGAAGAATTGCGAGAATCTATGTTCCGTGTGGGTTGCCGTGGTACGGACTTGGACCTCGCTCGCAAACGAATTCTGTTGTCGAATTCGGGTTCGTCATCGTCGCTTTCTTCCCTGTAAGCAGGTCTGTCCCGGTGTCTACTATGCCGATGTCGTCGGCGATCGGTCCGGTCGACACCAGGTGGGGGCGGTGTTACCGGCACTTCGGACGGTCTCTTACTACGTGCTCGTCGCTGTATCCTCATTTCCTCGGTAGATGTCGACGAATCCGTGTCTACGCTCGAGCTTCTTGAAGAAGATGGCGACGGAAGTCTCGAGGTTGGCCTTGATCGATATACGGGAGTAGATCTCGGCGGGGTTGAAAGTTCGTAAGTCTCGTCATCTCCACTGCTGCTGTCGCTTCTAGCCTTTGATTGCGCCCTCGACCTTGACCTCACTTTCGACTGCGTCCTAGGTCTCGATCGAGATCTCAGTCTCGACATCATCCGGTCCTGTTCGTCGTCATCGTCGTCGTCCTCTTCCACTTCAAGAAATACGGCCCGGCCCTTTCCGTTCCGGGAGGAAGCGCGACGGGCTCGGGTTAGTTGCTGCTGCTGCGGATGAGGCATTGGGTCGGGAATGTCTACTTCGTCGTCGTCGTCGTCGGATTCGGATTCGGATAGTGGTGCACCTCGAGGAGAATAATAGTTTGTGCTCCAGCCGGCGGGCCTTCGTATTTCAGGTTGTCGGGGTCGGTAAGGCAACGAATGGGGCATGGGAGGATGTCGTGAGTCCCAATCATGGTGGCGAGATGGGGAGAGTGTGCGTGACTGGTGTCGACGTCTGGACCGGTGCTTGGCTGCCGCATGCTGAGAATGTGCCATTCGTCCGTCGTTGTCAGCCCCGTAGTAGGTTAGTTAGCTTTGGAGGAGTTTCGCAGACGCCGTCTTTTGCTTTACTATTTTCTGTTGGTCCAGAAGGTCCGCCGGTATCGTGGGAAATGAACAGCTGGTTACTCCTGAATGGCTACTTGCATGCACTCAATTCGGTGCTGATTGGGCTGGGTGGTTGCAGTCTGCATTAGGAGTGGGATGTGCAGGCAGTATCGGGCGAAAACATTCCCAAATAGACGTCAAAGTCGCAGGACAATGATGTGTGATCGCAGCTAATTTACCACTTGACAGAAGAGATATTTCTTTCTCGAATCCAACATGACAATTGGCAACGCGTCTTTTCCTCCGATGGCCTCTGAGTGAGTGAAAGAGGGGATACGAGACGCGAAGTTACGAAAAGCTATGGAGGTGAGACAAGGAGAAACAGAAACAGTGTGGGTCGGACCATGTAAGTAAGTGGTAAGCTGGTTTAAAAAATTCGAACCTGAAAAAAGACGATGCTACTTCCAGATTGATACCTGATATTCCGTACGGTACAGATACCGGTACGTAAGGATCCCTAATCGGCTCGCTGTCCCCTGCCCTTTTTCCTGCTCTGCTGCTCTGACCCTCACCTGTGATCTTCACCTGGGGGGTCCTGGGGAATGCCCCGTATGGATGCCAGAGTGGATATAAGTGGTCGGGAACCCCTGAAAGGCGACTAACGGTTGGCTGAACTAGAGTCGGACGGTGATTCTGGCGGCACAAGCGCGACTTAAATCCTGGCATCTTAATGGTCCCTTCGATGGCCGAATGCCCCTCACATGTCAGTCTAATCCGTTTGTCACGTTGAAAAAAACAAATAGAGGTCTGACCTCTCCAATCGCACATACATACTGTAGGTCGTGTCAAGGTCTTGGAAAAGAAGTCCGTTTCCTATGACGGATAGGTTACCCATCAAGTGACCTAATAGAGATACCAGATACCACTGAAAAGGTGACGATACTCCGTCACGAGCATGCTGACTCCTCATGGATCGTCATCAGCCCTCTCCCGACGAAACCTTCCCTCAGATGCAGATAAAAGGGGTGGTTGGATGATCAGTTATCAGGCAGGCCGGCAGGTTGAAGTTACACAAGAGACCTGCGCTCTGCGATAGATCATTGTCCTATATATTAATGATCTTCGCGGTTCCTGAACTTTGGTCTCGGTGGTACCTAGCTGCCTACCATGTTGCCATGTATGTAGGTGCTCTGGCAGTCAGGATGTCAGGGTGCTTTCGGTTGCACAACTGGCCTGGCCTCTTTTAGGGGATTCTTTATTTCGTTTCTTGTGTAAAGGTTGCCAATGTAAGTAAATGTAAGTAAGACATGGCCTACTGCAGTATTGCCTAGGTATTTAACCACCCAATATTACCACATCAGGCAGCTGAAGGATTGCGGTTGTGCAACGGCTAGTTTCGAGTTCCAACTACATATGTAGAGCTTCTCGACCCAACCAGCTGCCTGCAGCCTCAAGCCTAGTGATTCATCCCGTGAATCTTTACCGAATGGATCCCTGTAGAGGAGATGCCATGTCTCAAGGGTCGCGATGCATCTCCAATTGAGTTGTTGCGGTTTTCCTCCCAAGTTTGCCCAGCTTCGGTATCTCGAAGCCGGTCAACCAGATTAGTACCGACTTACGAAAATATCTAGAATGCAGGTAATCAGCGATTCTAGACAGGAGAAACGGTTCAGCAATTTCTATGGTGTCTCTCAAAGCCTTATGTTGATATTCCGATTTGAATGTGTGAAGGTGATAAGCAGGTTGTCAATTTCTACCCAAGGCAACTTCTTGGCTCAAGCCTAAGCAACTTTTAGGGTGAGATCTATTATTCCTAGGTGGCTCTAGTGTCTGCTGGACTTCTCAGCTAATATCGATCCTTGTAAATGGGATGTAGATATGGTTTTATGAGCCTCGCCGTAGCAAAAGGTTGTAGCTTTTATGCTAGTGTTAGTCCACTAATTCACGCCTGTGAGTACCTAAGAGTTAGTTGTAAGAGTTAATACCTATTAGGTACCTACTAGGTACCTACCTACTCAGCAAGTAGATCATACCATCTTATTAAGAAGGCCGACTTTAGAGGTTTCTAGTAACAAGCAAAAGCGGTCAAGGATGACGAGATTTGGAAAGAGTAAATGTCAAGACTAAAGAAACTTGAACTTTATGGATATCTAGTAATCAGCAGTTAATGGAGGAAACTGCACTCTGTGGATAGATGATGGAGGATAATAAAGTGGATTGTAATAGCTGGGGGTGAAACAATCAATCAAACGCCTCCTTCTTTGATGAAGGATTAAATAAGATGAACCTTAATGTTTAAGGTAGCAGATTCTGTCTCATATGCTGAATCGACGAAGCCGAACTTCGCATCGGTAAGGTTGATTATTATCAAGATATCCGATGAGATATATGTACCAAAAGGGAAATGCGAGTGGCACAAGAGTTCTACACCTAAGGCGTGGCGGGGCTATTTTAAGTATCTTAGAGGTATTTTAGGTGGTGCAGTGACCAAACTTTAGTGCAGGGTGCCTTCCAGAAGCTCTAGGGCTCAAATTGTGACGTCGGCAGTGCATTAGGCTGACACTGTATGTACCTACGTAGTATCGGCAGCAACGGGCTGCGGCTGCGTGAGCGCGGGTTCTGCCCGACACTTCGGATCCTGGGGAGCTTTGTAGCCCTAGAGCTTTGTTAAACTTTCAAAGGTTGTCCTCGTGCTTCTTTCCTCAACTCGACCTTTACCTTTACATCATAGAAAATTAATAATTTCAATGTTAGCTCCAGGGCTACTTGACTAAATTCCATTCAATTAAACGACGCAGATTCCGATTTCTAATTCCGACCAACCCGAATATTATGGATTCTACAATAATAATTTAATTCGTCACTTCGATATTCCCTATTTTTCCTACATACCTAGTACAGCACGTATAACCTATGCAACCAATACTATTTACCTGGTACCTAGTCTAGAAGCTCTCCCCTGTTTTATGAATAATATATTATACCCTATACCGCTGTCGATCCTCCTGTTCACGATCTAATTCACCATATTCCGTTGACCGTTGACCGTTAATCATTGACAACCGACCATCGATCAATCTCCTCGACCAGCGCCGTAACTAATACCTCCAACCCAATGAACAATATTTGCATACTTGCGACCGTCAATAACGAGGTCGCTTCTAGAACATGCTTCTCTTGTACCAGATAGGCAGTGTCAAGATCGGTGAAGTCGTCCGTTACACCGTAACATATTCGCCATCGCACGATCGAATCTTACCTTCTCCCGACGTCCTACACTTACGTATCCGCAACACATCCCCTATTCCCCTTCGAGCCGCCTTTGTCCATGGACCTTATACCATAAGCGTTTCCGCCTATCCCGCCCATTATGATCCGAATACCAAGTTTGAGAATCCCCGTCGTTACGGTGTCCCTGAATTTGAGCCTATGCTCAAGGCTGGAGGCACGTGGTCATGCCAGTTGATTGTACCCGATAACATCCGTGAGAGTGCTGGAATAGGTGCTGCGCACGGCGATTTCAGCTATAATACTACAGGTGAAGAAAGTTCGAAGAGCGCAAGTTGGGTGATAGAGGTTTCAAGCCAGGTCATTTTCTCCACCAGTGCAGATGTAGGCTACGAGGTCTTGCTTGCGAGAGATGAGAAGAGCCTCAACTTAGGTGGCGTGCCGGTTATAGGTGGCCATGCCCAGGTTCCGCAACCCGGAAGGGTAGCTGATTTCCAACAAAGCTTGGGTGCAAAGGATGGTCACCATCCCGCTCAGCTAAAAGGAGTCTTCTCCAAAGCTGTTTTCCTGAAGGTCGAGGATACTGCGAGTCTTTGGAACACACCACCGTTGCCCGGCATTACCGAATGGGACCATGGACGAGCCAAACCAGCAGGTCTTGAAAAGGCAGCCACCAGTGTCGTAGAACCACCAGCACCACCAGCAGACGCAGAAGAACATAGTACAAAACAACGGCCTTTGAAGAAGGTTCACCTAGTCATCTTGACACATGGCCTACATAGTAATCTAGGATCCGATATGCTATATGTGAAGGAGAGTATCGACGCAGCTGCGAAACAAGCTAAAGCCGATGCAAAAGTAAGGAGAGCACAGGCGAAGGCCAAGAAAGACGGCGAACAAGGCGATCACACAGGAGCCACTGGGAAACAATCTGAGGAGAAAAATCACACCGATGACGATGATGATGAAGACGATGAAGAAGATATTATAGTACGAGGCTTCTCAGGAAATGCTACTCGGACAGAAAGGGGCATTAAGTTCCTAGGCAAACGTTTGGCTCGTTGGGTACTCTCTATGACCTATCCAGACCAACCATTTCTACCCTCTACTAAAAAAGCAGCAACCGAGAGCATTGCGCATGCTTTCAAGGGTGACAATGGGAATGACAACGCAACTGGAAAGCCCGCACATCGACACAGCACTATACATAAAGGTCACCATCGTAACGATGACCGCAAATTTCAAATTTCCAGCATCAGTTTTATCGGACACTCTCTTGGAGGCCTCGTTCAAGTTTATGCCATCGCATACATACAAAAACACTCACCTCAGTTCTTCAACCAAATCAAGCCAATCAACTTCATTGCGCTTGCATCCCCCCTACTGGGTCTTAGCAACGAGAACCCATTGTATGTCAAGTTTGCACTCGATTTCGGCCTCGTCGGAAGAACCGGACAGGACCTGGGGCTTACTTGGCGAGCACCAACCCTTGCCAGGAGCGGCTGGGGAGCATTAGTTGGGACTCTTGGAGAAAGTGCTCATAAGAGGGTGATGGGAGAGGTACAGCCAGAATCGAAACCTCTTCTGCGTATTCTACCTACTGGTCCAGCACATACTGCCCTAAGAAAGTTTCGCAACCGAACTGTCTATTCCAATGTGGTCAATGATGGAATTGTGCCACTACGGACGAGTTGTCTCTTATTTCTAGACTGGCAAGGACTTGGTCGAGTGGAAAAGGCTCGACGAGAAGCTGGTTTGGTTGAGACGGTTGTTGGATTTGGGTGGGCAGAGTTGACTGGCGCTAACGCGACGTCACGAAGAGGTCCCTGGTCGCCGACAACTGAGGTGCCTCCATCACTCTCACCGTCTGCCATTGAGTCTGAGTCTTCTCATAGTGATTCTCACGAGGTGCCACAACCATCGACGAATGCAACCTTAGAAGACGACAGACGCAGTTTAAACCTTGCAGCACAAACTGAAACAGGTACCGTAGGCCAAAACTCCCAAACAAATAACGACTTTCCATTTTCCGGATTTTTCAATTTCTTCAAATCCAGCGACTCGGCAGTTCGTAAAACGCCTCCCCCGTCACCTCGGGAAAATAAAATATACAAGCGCAGTCAGACCCTAAAGGTTGATACGACCACAGATTCAGCATCGTCAAGTAGATCGAAGGTATCTTCCGGTCATGATCTTAGCGAAGATCCAATGGGTGAAGTATCTGCCCCTCCAAGAACAACTTTCTTCGAGTCCGCAGGCGATCTTCTCAACCCTACGTTACCAACGGTTGAATATCTCATCGATCCTTCAACACGCCCACGAACTATATTCCATGATCGAGTTTATCATCCATCCGATATTCCACCACCACCACTCAAGAAACGTACGACTAGATCACTCACATTCCGGAATAAATCAAATACACCTAGTGCTACCTCATCTCCCAAAGTAGAAGCTGCAAAGAGTCCCTCACTAAATCCGTCTGTCGGGCATGCGGACTCAGAACTTTCAACCCATGACTACGATGACCTTATGCACACTGATCCTAACAGAGATACCGAACATGTTATCGACAGTTCCAGCATGAAAGTCGAGGAGAAGATCGCGCGGGCATATCATCGTGGCTTAAGTTGGCGGAAAGTCCTGGTAAAATTAGAACCAGATGCACATAACAATATCATTGTGCGTCGCAAGTTCGCCAATGCGTTTGGTTGGCCTGTGGTGAAACACTTAGTAGACGCACATTTCAGCGACAGCGCAGCGGCTCGTATGGAGGATGAAGCCGAGCGAGGCGTTGACCGTGCGAAATCACTTCATCAAGCACCCAACGAGACCGGCGCTGAAACATATACACAAGATGATGCCCAACCACGAGGAAGCACGAACTCACAAGATGAAACAAGGACTCATAAACACACTAGGAGTGAGGCTCTTGAGGCTACGGACATAGTATCGGATTTACCATCACCAGCCAGGGAGAAGCAATCAGCCCCTTACAGTTCAAGAGATTCGCCACCCCGTATCTCCTACGACGGACTTGATTCTGCGGGTTGGAGTGACCGAGACTTTTTTGACAGTGGCGATGACAGCGAGATGGACATAGATATGGCCTATGGCAAACACCACAAAAGCCAATCAACATCGGGTGGCAAGGGTAATGATTCACCAAGAGCTGGCAGCCCCAGCTGGAATTGGACAGAGAAGATTGTGGGTAAGGGCGCTGGAAAGAGGGTCAAGAGTCCAAAGATCCCTCAAAGCCCCGCAAGCCCTAAGCCGGGAAACGAAGGCGGGAGCGAAGCCGTTCCCCGATGAATATAATGATCTGTTAGGCCCGTTAATAGCTGGTGTTGGAATACGGGGGCGGGCTAACAGTTTGGAAAGAGGTAATTTTGATAAAGGGGCATAGGCATTTGGGTACAGCATTTTAGATTTCTAGCAGAGCAACTTGGAGTAGCACGCATGGTGGCTTTTTTCGAGATGGCGTGGACCGGCCTCATTGATACTGGCAAAAAGCATAAAGCAACCTGATACACATATATAGATATTTGTAATACTGAATATTTCAAAATTATTGGATATACTTGTCGATGAAAATGGAGTGTATGTTTTATATCTCCATCGTCGTGTCTTTGTGGACATAAGTTCAGTTTTGACTTGTCCGTAGCAAGAGTATATCTAACATATCACGAAGTATAGAAGTTGACCAACATAATGAGCACGACGGACATGTCATAGATATCGTCGGCGCCATAGAAAAATCAGGACTCAGCAAGATCCGCTTACGCCCTGAGGAGATTCGACACGGCATCTTCGACAAGCGAACATCACTCGTCATTATTCCTCACGACGCCCTATCTCGACAAAGACCCATCTGTCGTTCAGTTACGGGGCTGCTTGTAAGTGGGTTGTTTCCTTTATATATCTAAATATTTGATATTACCACCACATAGTGTATAGTTGGCCCTTTTGAAGCCAACGATCAGTACATCTCGTAGGCTGTTTCAAAATAAAGGCACTTCACGACTAGAGGTCCAGGTTCGAATCCTGGGTGCAGCTAATCACTCGTCTTTTTACTAGGCTTTTTGTTCATCTATTTTATTCGAAGATTTTCTTTTTCATCCATAATCCATAATCCATAATCCATAATCCATAATCCATACATAGTAATTATTAGTATGAGATTCCGCCAAATACGAAGAAGCAATACCAATTTGGATATATTTACCTAGGTAGGTATGGTAATATTCTTATTGTCTAGCATAGGGGCCAGTCTCGTGGAATATATGTGCCTAGCATGTAGGTATTGGCCATTTTCTACTGCAGGGTTACTATGAGGAATGGGGTATATCTGGGTAAGTCGCAGTTCTATATGCCCAGATGCTAATGGAAGCGAATGATTATTGTAGATACGTGGAATTCTGTTATTCCGTTGTTTTTGAGAGTAAGTCGCTTAAGCAGGCTACTATTTCGGCTATCCCAGCCAGAATCCTATGCTACGACTTAACACCACGGGTGGGAATACGTTCCATACATGTTATGTTTCTCATGGAGCTTACTTTCCAAGGTAAGTTTTGGGAATATGAGGTTTGCAGTGGATGGGTACGTAGCCATCTCTTATCGTTCCTAAACGTAGCCAGGAGTAATAGGCGAGACTTTATTCCACTACAAAGTCAGCAATCAAGGCACTAGGTACCTGTGTGGGTTGTTGTTACCGCCTTAGGAAATGGGTGCTACGAGTTCTAATGCCTCCCGATAGAAGCTTTAGGATGATGTCTGCGCCGGTAGACTACTTACTACCTACACGCCAGGAGTTAATTATTGTACCCATGGAGGATCGGATAGACTCCTTAGACCTCAGTAAAGAGAGTCTACCAGTAGGCTAGGGGCACCGATAGAGAAGAAGCCATCTATCGTAGCTAGAATCCTTTCGACCGGCGCACTCATCCACTTCTCTAGCCACCTATCTCTTCCTTGAGGGATCAGTTCATTAGCCTAACAGTGCATACCACTTACCATGCCCCTTGAAATGATATACCATGATAGCATTATGCTATGAATTCATCAGGGTTGTTAGAACCCCATGTTTGTATTGACTACTTAGTAGCCATCAGTTTTCGCACAGTAGAACCCATCATCGAGAAACATCGCCATCATCACGAAATCCCCAACGCAGCCTCAGATCTCCGGTCGAGACGTCCCGTCCCATCATTCACGGTTCGAGTGCTTGCTTAAGCCGAGCCGTACGTGCTCTTAGCCTGGCGCAATGCGCGCCAGCAAACGCTCTTGGCCGTTTCCCCTATCCTCATATCCCGTTTCGAGGCCGTGCATACGCAGCTCGTATGGCAGTTATGAAAGCCAATGGAACCCTGAGGTGGTCGATTGCCGGCCAGAAGCAGCAAACCAAACCGGCGGGACGAAAAATCATATCCGTCTTCGTCGCCACAGGCCGATAATAGAAAATGATTACGCAACGATATAGCCGTATCCCACCAAATCGATGCAGCACCAGCACAAGCAAAGAAAAGCAAAAAAACAGAAGCAGGAACACCGTAGTAATTCTTCAACGGTGAGCAGCCCAAGACTATTTTCGGCGACGCCTTCGAGCTCTTCCACCGGACCGGTGTTCCAGCGGTGCATCGGTGGCTGAATCGAGCCAAGAGAAAAGAAAGGGCGGGACAGCATTTCGGTGGACGCAGACGTGTGTATGACGGGGAATTTTCATTCTCAGCTGAAGCGAGGGCATAATTATGCCTCGGTCAGGTATGCCGCTGGTAATCCCAGCAATGGGATTGGTGTCCCGCTTGCGCCACAGCTCGGTGCCAGCCGAGCTCACATATAACCTGCATGCGCTGCTGGTGCTGGTGCTGCTGGCTCTTCCCCCCCCAACGCCGTGCGACGAAGCACTCCGGCCGCCGAAGGGGCATGTGTGGATTAAAGGATTAGAAGCCAATCCACCCCGGTTGAGAATCGCCACTCGTCATCTAGCTTAGCTGCAATGTCGACGCGTCCCGGATGATATCTAATCTAGGGCACATCGGAGTAGGACGTAGGGCCTCCCCGAGCAGGAAGGTGTAATAATTTTTATCTTGCTTACGCTCACCCTCGATCCGGGATTGCTAGGCATGTCGTCCGCTTTAGCGAGGGGAAGGTAAGAAAAAAAAAGACTCACTCAATACCAAAATGATTATGCGGCCCCTGATCAGATCTCACGAAAGCATGAGAAAACACCAGGGTGTACGGGACGCAACATTGCGTGGAGGTTACACAACAGAGAGAGGAGACTCAAAATTTATATAGGCAAGCATCCGGTGGCGAACGAGGGTTACCAGCACGCCCCAGCGTACCTGGGGTGAGGAGATTTGAAGGGGTACGGATACCACATCGACAGGCTTCCCCTCAGAAACTCTCGACGGCGCCCGAATCAGCCGTTGCGGAGATGGCTTCTGGTAGGCTTGCTTGTCTCAGGGCTCACATGTGAGATAGATTGCGGCTCGCCGCGAATAGTATGTCCACACCATCGTGGCTTTCAGCAGCTGCAGTGTCGGGCTTACTTCTATGTATGTATATAAATCTCTATGCGGATGCAGCAAAGTTGGGTCGAGTGAGTGGATTGAGTCGTAGAGGAGGCGAAAGCAGATAATCTGATAAAAGAGCCTTTGCATTGACCGGATGCACGCCGACGAATTGGGCTGTTCATCCAGCCTCTAGCGTGTAAAGCCGATGTAGTCTTGTTTAACTTGGGATTTGAACAACCTCGTCCTAACCCCAAGCGAGCGAAGAACAGAGAGCTCACTGGCTTCTTCGATTCCCGGTGCATCTACCCGACCGGTAGGGAAAGGGAAGTTGGTAAGGACGGTTCAAACCGAACCAGATTCCAATCAATGCAGCCAAGGAACCCCAAGGAACCAGGCTCAGCTAGATAGCCTGGGAAATCCGTTCGATGTGCCTGTTCCGAACCGATTCTGCCTGCAGGATCTCCTTGATTGCCGGCGGACATTTTTCCCTTACATGGAATATCTTGGCTCGACGACAAGGCTACGATTTTGGAACCGTTGATGTCATAAAGCCTTAGTAGCTCCTCCATTTGGAACGAGGCCAAGGACGAGTTGTCGCTCTAGCCCCTTTTTCGCTAACTAAGCTGAGTCCGAGGATGCTAAACACCTAGGCGAAGATCTTATGATCAACTTGGCGCTGCTGCGCTGATAAGGATTTGATCTAGTGAATCGATGAAAGTAGAAAACGAGACCCCAAAGGTCTTATTATTATCAAGGAAGTGGTCTTTCCGCGCGCCTGAATCATGTTCTAACGCTTGGTATACGCGCGTCTGATAGTGACCGTAGTCATGTTGACCCTAAGGGATTGGCCAATGGTGGAGGGGGATGGCGCCATGATCGCCAACACGTCTAGCGGCGGAGATGATTGCTATTTAGCCCCGACTACTACGGTTGGCCATGCCTTATCTGACGATGTATCCAAGAGTCCGTCTCGCTCGAGACATTTACTCTACCAGGATCTAGCTAAGCTCCAATATCTCGTCAGAGTGATGATGATGATGATCAGGATTGTCAGTGCCGGAATAAGTCGTGTCTTGGGTCAAGAGAACATGCGCAAGTTTCTCTTCTTTTTCCGATAGGAGGTTCAGACTTCAGAGGAACGCTGCGCGCCGTGTCGACTCGAGCAATCTCGCTTCTCCCGTTCCGAATAAGATCTCTCTCATAGCCTATACCCCCCATATGAGCGTCCACGTCTTCCAGGAGTTTCTTAGGACTATTCCTTTATTATGGCAAGTACGGCTTCATCCGGGCTTTGATACTATATCGTATCGTGCACCGACGGCACTAGTAGGAAGTCCTCAACCCCCCCGGATGGCGTAGTCAATCAAACAATTAATATCTGAAGTCTGTGACGAACCATTGATAAGGCGCATAATTCCCCCACAACTTCATCAATAGGCTAGCCGAGATCTCCGCCCCCAATAGACCCCCATTCGCTTATGTACCATCGAGATTCAAGATAGGATGAACTCGCACCTATTACGTCGACATCCTTAAGGCACAGTCACCGATAAGTTCGCGGCGTAGTAGGCCTTACTGTGCGGCGGTGGAGGTCAGGCGACCTCCGTGCTCAAAATAGAATCTACATCCTGGGGAAATCGTCAGATTTCCTACTTACTATCGAAGAATGATCAGCGAAAGGGACTCGCTAATAGTCTAGATCGCAGGGATCTCATCACCCTCGCCAATCTATCCCACACATAAAGAATTGCGACCCGCGCGAACTACTATTATACCTTGTATCAGCACTGAAGGCTGAAGCTCTAGCCCGCGCTTAGGTAGGTCGGTTCTGTAACAAGTTGTAAAAAAAGAAAGATAGTCGACAAAGGCTGTCACAAATTCAATCTCCATAACACCTATATAGATCTCTTGCAGACGCCACAACACGGGGAGCCAATAGGATCTAATCCTGCCGACGCCGACAATATCGAGAGCAAACATGAAAAATAAAAATGACAAGCCGGTGTCGATGATTATCAAAGTCTGAAGCCTGATGATCCGGGGCGGCAGCCCGAAA